CATGCACTCTCTCTTTTCTTCATAATTTGGTTTTCATGTCTTACCTTCCCTTACATATCCTTTAGTGCTCTAGCAACCCCTCATCTTTTATCTCCAACAAAAAGTTTGATGCCAAATCCTCAGTGAGAACCTATTACAGAGATAACATTGAACTCCTACCTACACCCTATTTTTGTTGAATCTGCTTCAGCTAGTCCTACTTGTGATGAGTTCAATGTACCTACTATGAATTCTGTTTGTTAAGTCAGTCTTAAAGCATGTCAACTCCAAGTGATTTAACTTCACCCATTTACAATTTGGCAAAACCTATGGTAAGGAAAAATATTCAGAATACAACCAGTAGTGACGGTTGTGAAAACTATAGATGTGAAGCAATAGTGAAAATGCCCCGGAAACTCAGTGTTTAGTCTTTGCAATTTCTTCCTTTAGAAAAGACTTCTATTTTGATTCCACATTGTTATGGTTTTTCGTTAGCTTCGCACTTTAACTGCTTTAGAAGATACTATGTGATACAAAATTTGCTTCCAATATACTATGTATACAAATTCTTTGCTATCCGAACTTTTTCGGAATCTCTATTCCGGTAACTTTCAGACTTAAATATAGAGAAAATGTCTAATTTTAATAAATAAAAAAGTTTAAATAAATGATAAATCTAAATAGTAATGATAGTGAATTAAAAAAAGAACTCGGACATTACTTGTTGAAGACAATGATATTATTGATGATTCTAATATTTGAAAAACAATTGAAAATTATCCTGCCAAAATTATAAATGATTTGAGACAATTTCTTTTTTTTTTTTTTTTTTTTTGGTGATGGTCATAAATACGAAAATTATGTATTTACTAAAGTTTTATTTATAAATTTGAAAAAAAAATTATTTAAATAGCACAAATGATGTGAAAATAGTTCACATGATCATGCTAAAACTAAATATTTTGGATATGAAGATTAAAAAAAAAAAACAAAAAATAAAAAACAAAAAGTGAAATTTAGATTGTTTATAACATACAATGGGATATCTTTTGTGGATACAATGAGTCAACATAGTCCGTACATTAAGGTAACTTATTAAACTTATTAGATAATATTGTAAACGGAACGAAGTAGACAAAATAATGAATTCAAATGCTCATGTCAATAATCAATTGAATTCTCAAGATATCGTAAAATAAATTATCAATACATGTGTTATAAAGGTAAGAAATATGATTTTGACTGAAATTAAAGATAGATATTCTATTTGAATTTATAAAATTTATGAAACGTAAGATAGTTTGGTAAGAGAACAATTATCGATACTTTTGAGATTTGTAAATGATATTGGAGAAGTGATTAAATATTTTCTTGATATAATACATTTTAGTGATACTTGTTCATAATATTTGAAAATTTCATAATTGAATCTTTTGCAACGAATAGATTGTCATTTTCAAAACTAAGAGATCAAAGTTATAAGGATACATAGCGAGTTCAATGAACTCAAAACACTCATTTTAAAGAAAGTAGGCATATACATTATATATATTATTTTTTGACACAAATTGCAATTAGTTGTTGTTTATAGAGTAAGTAAAAATATGTATGTATTAAATTTCTTTGAAAATATTTTTATGATTGTGAATATAGTTAGAGTTTCATATAAAATGGGAAATAATTTGAAATAGAGACAATATGATGTTCGTTTCTAAAGCAAGGAGGAATATGATGTAATAGAGAAGAAAAATAAATAATAATAATAAAATAGTATCAGCTTGTGATACTTGTTAAGATTCTCATATAATTCTTTACCTTTTTTTTCTTTTTTTTTTTTCAATTGTGGGATGTTGTAAAATAAGTTATTCAAATATTATTTGAAAATTGTGATGATCTGAAAAGTCAAACCATTACGGTTAATTTGATTGAAAAGATATATAATTTTCACTTTATATTCATTCAACATTTGATTGTATATTTATTAGGAATAACAAATATTTTGTCATAAATTTTACAGTAATATATATATATATGTACATACAAAAATAATAATTGATGTGTGATTGATTCAATTAATAAAAATTGAACAAGAAATTTAAGAATAATAATTGAGATTTAATTTGAGAGTGATTGTTGAAGCAAATAACTTAATTATTGGGGCGGTGCATGAATGACTATTGATGAAAAATGAAGTGTTTATATCTATTATTTTTGTGTAGACATGTTTTTATAGGTAATTGAATTCTTATTTATTTTATAAATAAATCTATGTATACATATATATTCAATCATTATTTTATATTATTTATTTTTATTATAGATTGTTGATATTATTTTGGAAAAAAATCAAAGCTAGTCACATTGATATTAAAATTAATTAATTTTGCTCACATTATAAAAAATTAATCAATTGTAGTCTCAATATAAATTATTTCAATTATTTTTTGTCCTATCTTTATAAAATTAAAGGTATTTGTTGACGTAGATATAATATATTGTGATTTGGCATCTGACTTGGACCAACATGCTCGTATTCAATTAAACATGACCGTTTATATGTAATTATGTACTGAATGTGGAGTTAATCACATAAGCTTGGAGGAAATCTCTTGGAATAGAGAAGATAATCAATTTTTGAAATTGAAAGCTTCATTATTAGCTCGAGAAATTCGGCCATGACGGTTCGTAATTGGATTCTCTCCTCTTTAAATCATTTTAAAATTGAAGCTATAATTTTCATCTGCCATTCTCTACTCCTCCAAATCAATTTTGACGCAATTCTTCAACATAACATTGCAAAAATAAGACAATTTTCTCTAGGAAAATCAAATCCTTCACCTTCACGAAGAGCTACCATTGGCGGCAGAATCTGGCTACTGCCATCATGAGCAACCGTTTGTTCTCCTCCAACTCGGCAGCGAAAGAAATCATTCTCGAGAGACATCTTTTAACTGCAAAATTATAATTCTCGAGGTCCGGTTCGAGGTGGCTGGCGAGTCAACTCGTCTGATCGGACGTGAGTGAGTTACGGCTGCGCCCAAGTTAGACTACATTTTGATGAGGCGAACGGAGGGTGTGATTTGGAACCATAAATAGGGCCCCAGAAATAACTCGACACCATAATACAAAAATCGTCCCCCACCATGGTCGCCCCAGTTCGAAATTTTTCCGCACGAAAAAAAAATGTATAGAGAGAGGGAGGAATAAGAATTTGAACAAGAACAAGAACAAGAACAAAATAACAAGAATTTAATAGAAAAGAAAATGGATTGTTAATGCGGTGCAGAATTGAGTGGGGACGATGTTTTGAACACGATTGAACACGAATGTTTTTTCAATAATGTTTGGTATACACTGCCATGTTCAATTGAATACGGGCATATTGGTCCAACTCAGATGCCAAATAACAATATGTTATGTCCATGTCAGCGAATATTTTTAATTTTGTAAATATGAGACTAAAAATGATTGAAATAATTTATATTGAAACTAAAATTGATTAACTTTTTATAATGGGACCAAACTTGATTAATTTTGATATCAATGGGACTAATTTTGATTTTTTTCCCTATTATTTTTCAATAATTGAATATTTAATTTTTTGATCAAAATTTGAGCTTATTACATAGCATGTCTTGATCTTGGTAATTTGTTTGCTAACTTTGATGCTAAAAATTTAAATAAATATTATACATGACCAAGTTATATTCATAGGACAATTTTCAACCCGTCGCTCTATTTCTATTTTTGCAATTGCTACAGTACAAATGCAGTTAATCTACAATATTTTTACTCCAACCATATACTTTAATTTTTACTCTAAAAAGTATATTTCTTGTATATTCTTCTTTTATATTATTTTATATAACTTTTCATATTTATAAATTATACCTCTAACTTTTATTTTTACATTATAATCCATATACATATAATTTATATTTTATTTAAAAATTACATATATTAAAATTAATATTTATAATTAATAACTATTACAAATAAAATAATTTTAAATAACTAATTATATGCTATCGAGACAAATAACTATTTAAAATAAAAAAATTATACATAACTTTTTATAAAATAAAAGTACACGTTACTTTTAAAAAAAAAAATTACAAATCACTTTTAAAAAATAAAATTACACATTATTTTTTAAAAAAAATAAAATTATATCACTTTTCGAAAATTAAAATTATATATTAATTTGAAAAATAAAAATTAGACATTATTTTTAAAAAAAATAAAATTATATATCACTTTCCAAAAAATAAAATTATGCATTATTTTTCAAAAAAATAAAATTATACATAACCTCTTAATGTATAAAATTATATATCATCTTCTAAAAGATAAAATTACAAATACACCCCAAAAAAAATAAAAATACAAAAAACATCACAAAATATCATAAAAATTCCATTCCAAAAATATATTTGAGGTACAATGTACTCAAAAATGAAGTAACACTGAACATTACTTAAAAAATAGAAGGGATTTGGGGATGACTTAAAAAATAGAAGGGATTTGGGGATGGGTTGGAGTTAGTCTTACGAAGGATAATTTGATGGTACACAACTTTGATCATATATTCATTATGTGTAATGAAATATGAATTTATCCAACCTTTGTGATTATGAAGATCTTGCAAAAAAAAAAAAAGTTGAATTCAAAGTTGATATTTCTTTTTATTTGATATATTGACTTATGACACTAATGGAAGTATTTTTGCAATTTTTTCTTAATTTGTATAATTTTTTGTACAAATATCATTATATTATTATTATTATTATAAGACACTAATGGAAGTATTTTTGTAATTTTTTCTTAATTTATATTACGTTTTGATATAATAATTAATATTCAAATATTAACACACATTGTAAATGAGACTCTTAGAAATGGAAGATGATAGTAAATAAATATTGAATATAATGTTCGAACTAACAAAGAATACATTTCTATTATATATAATCCAAAAACAACGACAATAACAAAAACACAAAATCCCGTGCCCTCTAACACATATCGATCGAAAAACCGAGAACTCGACAAGTACATAACACAAAAACAACACTAGCTCTACGCTACGGCACTCCTCCGTCTTCCTCAACGGCTAACTACCACTATATCGGTGAGCACGCTAAGTTATCGCGCGCCAATGTTAGAATATTTTCACAATGTATCGAGAAAACGCTATGTATATTTTATAGGTAATAGTACAACAGAATCGGAATCAGTAGTACCCTTTCCTCCTCGACTGAAATAACTCCAATCTCTTCTTCCCTTCTAACGCCAACGCCTCGATGTTCTTGTCCTGCATCAAGTTCGGTTGCTTCGTGCCCCATTCGAGCACGATAAGCACATCCTCCTTCGCCAAAATGTCGCTCTCCGGGACATGCATTGCGAGGTAACATAGCAAGACGAAGCACGGGATTTGCACCATTTGCTCGCCAAAGTACACCAACGGGACAAGATGCTTGATCCCGTCCTCGTCGATTATGGCCTTGCAATATTGCACGTTGAGGAAATTCTCCGGGCACGCGAACTTGTTGAGCGCGATCGCCGCCTCGCACATCACGTCGGGCTCGCGGTCGTCGAGGAGCTTCACCAACGGCGCGAGGATCCTCGCCTCGCTCGCCCGGAAAGTTCTTGCCAAGTTTCCGACGGATTGGATGCTCGGAATTAGAAGGTCTAAATCTTCCTTGTGAATGATTTTTAGAAACTGATCGATGACTGTTCGAGCTGCCGGCGCGGTGGGCTTGAACGCCCACCGCCGGAGCGTCTCGTCCTCCTCGGCCACCGCCGTGATCTCCATCAACGCCATGGCTGAATTGTACTGGATTTCGTCGTTGCCCTTCTCCACCAATACGGCGAAGCATAACATCGCGCGCGACTCGGTTATGCTCTTGCAGATCGCGGTGTTTCCCGCGCAGAGGTATCGAAGCGCTCGAGCCGCCATGATCTTCATCTCCGCCTTGATCGCCGGATCTTCGAGCTCCCGTCGCTTGATGCTGTCACCTCGATCTCCCGTCAGATGATGATGATGGGTCTTTTTCTTCTTTCGATTTTTTACCGTATCGTCCGCAGAAATGGGGTTTTTTTTCTTCGGCGTGCTCGATTTTATCGCGGTAGCGTTCGTAACGACGTTGTGCATTTGCGTCGTCGCAGGAAACCCGATCGGCTGCTTTGCGACAGCAGCTCGATTTGCGACGATGGCGTACTTGCTACTCTCGGGAATTGTCTCGAAAGCGAGATGGCTAATGAGGAGCTGGATAGTGTTGTTTTGCGCGAAGTGATCTTGACATTTCCGATGAGTCGCCGCGAGTTCGGCGACGGCCCAAGCGACCGCGACTTGGACCTTCATGTGGCCTTCTTTGAGGATCTTGGCGAAAACGGGACCGACGCCGGAGTTGACGATGGAGTCGACGGTTTCGGGGTCGCGGCCGAGGAATCCGATGGCTTTCGCGGCGTGTTCTTGAGCTTCCATCCGGCCTTCCTTCGCCAATTTGAGCAATGGCGGGAGGCCGCCTTCTTCGATGATCAATTTGCCGTAGCGATCGTTGTCGCGGGCGAGGGAGACGAGGGAGGCGGCGGCGTCGGCCCGGTCTTCGACGGAGCCGGAGCAGAGGGCGGCGATCTGCTCCCAAATGAGGCAGAGGATTGGCTCGTTGGCGGCGATGGGCGGGAGGCCGCCGAGGTAGTCATAGTCATCGCGGTCGTCGACAGGGGTGGAGACGCGGAGGAGCCAGGTGACGTCGCCGACGGAGTTGTCGAGTTGCTGGACGATTTTCCGGGGGGCGGCGGCGGGGATGATGGTGAAGAGGCGGCTGAGGCCGGCGGCGCGGCACTTGAGGAGGAGGGTGAGGGCCTTTTCGAGGACTTGTTGGGTGTCGTCGATGATGCGGCGGGTGGGGCGCTCGTAGAGGTCGCCGCGGAGGCGGGCGGCCTGCCGGAGGAGGGCGGCGAGCTTTTCCGACTTGGCTTTGATGTCGAGGCAGTCCTGGCGGAAGGAGACGGCGCCGTCGGCGAGCTTGGCGACCTCGTCGGCGTATTGGATGGGCTTGACGAGGATTTCTTTGGCGAAATCCGCCATGAATTAGGCGAACGGAGATCGCAGCACCACCGCCGCCGGGGGGGGGGGGAGGGGAGGAGGAGTGCCGCTGGTGTTTTGTGTTTTTGGAAATGGAGAGGAAAAGTCGGAGGGGGTGGGGGATGGGAAGGGAATATAGGAGGGTGGGTGGTGGTGGTGGTTGGATTGCGGCGGGCGGCGGCGGGCGCCGCCGGAGGGAATGGTGGGGCGGGATTGGCGTGGGCTTGTTATTGCGCTGGATTGTCGTTGTGCCCGTGGATTGTACGGACTGAGTACGGGATTCCACCACGTAAGCAAAATGCTTTACAAAATTATTTTTTTAAAAAAAAAAGAAAAAAAAAAAAAAAAGAAAACGTTTCCATATAGAATAGAGGATTGTATTTTGAGTGAAATAGTAAAAAAAAAAAAAAAAGTAAAAAATGTATTTTGAATTGAACAAGAAAAATATAATGATAAACACTTATATTACATCATATAATTATTCTAATTCAAAATTACCTTCATATAATTATTCTAATTCAAAATTACCTTAACTCGTAATGTATGAATTGTTTACAATATTTACATTATATTACTATATTTTTTTTGCTAAAAATTAACAGCGAAATCTATTTAAGATGTGTTTGTTTAGATGTTTGAATGGAGTTTGTATAGTAAAAATATTGATTGGAATAATTATACGATGAGATATAAATAAATTTTAATACGATGTTTTAAATATAAAATTAATTTTTAATATAATATACAAAATAAAAATGAATATTTGATCCTATATTTTTAAAAAAAAAAAATTAGTAAGAAAGAAAATCTTTCAAGATCCTACAAACAAATACACCCTTGGTAAATTACTATAGCTTGTATATTGGTTAAAGTATAATGTTTAGTCTTAATCAGCACTCTAACTATCCCCGTCTCATTCTATACGAAAAATTAGTTATTAAGAACATCGAAAACTCGAAGCAAACACAACCGATCGAAGAAGAAGACAGCGTAATTTTAGAAAATACGTATTAAAAGATCGACAAACAGTTGAATCCCTTCATATTAAATTTCAAGTTATGTTACCGTAGAACATCCTGAATAAGCTAACAAAGGGCAGCTGCCATTCCCGTCGGTTTCCTCCTTACTTTTTCTATCAACTTTCCTATAAGCGCATCTCCTACAAACCTTACCGTGGGCGTAGAGAAGGCAGTTCAGGTCGAATTTTAAATCGGCTGGAATCCGATGATTGAGATGGACGTATGTCTTTTTAATGTCCGCAATGGGTGGCACCCAGCCAATGGTCTTGGCTATCTGAAAAACCTGGAGAAGTACCAACAATGGTGCCCAAGAAATAATCAAACCCTATCAAAGACGACTAACTCAGGTAGGTAATTCATAAACATATGAAAACTACTTACGTGTGTGTCCACCGGAAAATCATCAAGTTGCAGATTGAACAATAACACACAGGCAACCTGCGAATCGAAAGGTGAAATTAAAAATTCATACGATTATAGGCCATGAGGCATGAGACCACACTGTCGAGCTAATACTGTACATTAAGCATTTTGAAGCTTTTTGGTGGAAAGTGTTCACAATGTCATGGAGGAGGAAATGGTAAATTCAACAAAAAATCAATCGACATAAAGCTCGATAGTAATACCTTTGAAGCAAAAGAAATAATTGCTCATCTTCATCGTACTTGAATTAAATTACATTATACAAGTGCAACATTCATGGCTGCTTTGACACCGAAGATTACACAGCACCGCAAAAAGCTTAATTGATTTTCGAGAAATATGGGTTCCAACTTTTTGAAATTTCGATCAACTTTAAATTGCATCACTGATTCCTCTTCTTCCCGATAGAAACTTACACAAAAACAAAAACAAAAAATCTATTCTTTCAGAAATGTATATTCATTTGGTAGAGAAGTACCGTTTTAGGTCCAATTCCTTTCAGAAGGGAGAGCTCTGCCTTCACTTCCTCAATCGACAACTCTCTTAAATACTCCATGCACAGCTTCCCCTTTTTCTCGAGCAACCAGCTCAACAAATTCTTTATACAAGAAGATTTGGTTGGCGCCAAGCCACCGCACCTTATAACATCCTCGATGCACTTGGAATCAGCTGCAAGAACCTTGAAAATGCACGGGCTATTTAGTAGAATTAATTATTTTAGTCAGCTTGCTTAAACAAAAGCCAACAACGGGTCAAAAGCCTTATAATCATGATTTCAAACTAGACGATCCAATAGATCACATAACATGGTCTATCCTAGAATGTCATTGTTCACACATTTTTTATCGATGAACTAATAAAGGAAGCGTTTGTTCGTATTTTAAAAGTTGTTTTCTAGTTTATAAGTATTTTTCCCCGAAAAATCATTGCATCCTAAACAAAAATTTATTTTCCATTCCAAACATCTTGTTACAACACTTAATTTCCATATAAAACAATGTATCCAAAACTTATTTTCCATTCAAGAAACTTCAAATTCAAAGAGGCCAAAGCATCCTAACCATTGAATTTTGTTTATTTCTACTTTCAAATCCAATTTTACCACCATTCCAAAATTATCAAATCCAACATTAAATCGCAACGAACATATTCACATAAGACAATCAAAGCCCTAACATATAGTTAAATAATTCTCCCACTGAAGAAACCTACACTCCATCTACTTACGTTTTCAAACTTGTTTTTGCAGTATTCACCAAAAACTCTCCCCAAAAAACATCACATTTAAAATACTTCATAAAAAAAACCTATTCTCCATTGACATCCAACACTTGTTCATAACTAAAGCATAATATTGTGAATTTTACAACATCCAAGAACCAAAAGGGGAAACAAATGGAATATATCTTTTAGAGACACTAAGCTTTATAGCCCACACAAAAATGCAACTCCAACAACATAACTAAAGCCTGCAACTATGCAAATTTCACTGTCCCTTCAAAGCAGCAACAATCAAAAGCAAAAGAAGACAAAAGAACTCAAACCAAAAAAGCCACACAACATATATAATTTCAAAAAATAAAATAAAAAGAAAGCTCAAAAGCCATGGATACCTACATACATTTTCCCAAGTAGGGAAAGCCTTTTTGAGCGAAGCAAAAGCCCTCTCAGAATTGAGCTCAGTAGTGTTCTGTGACAGTACGGTCCTCACCAGACCGTCCAGGACAGTCTCGATTTCTTCTCCATCCTCCTCCGGTAATTGCTGCGTGTTTTGGTAGGGCTTTGCACGCATTCTTCGGTTGCGGTATTTGAGGAATTCCTGGGGGAATCCGTGGTGGGAAAGGAGATCGTCGCGCACGGAGAGGCACTCTTCGGCGGTGGGACGAAGGTAGTCCAGAAATGGCGGCCCCACGGCGGCGATTGTGGTGGATTTCGGTGGTTTGACGGAGGAATGCTTTCTTTTGCGGATTCGCTCCATTTTTTTGGCTCCCCTCTCCCTCGTGCCTGTGAGATTGTATCGCAGAAAATACAAAGGGCTCGGCTTTTTAAAAGAGGCCAATTATTTTACTGCGGGATAACGTTTTGAACTTATTTATTCATGTGTTACTATGTTTCCAATTTTTTAAATTTAAAAATCACATTGAGAAATTAATTCATCAATTAAAAAAAAATAATAATTAAAATAGGTTTCAACTAAAATAATTTTAATCAATTTTGTTCCTATCTTTATAAATCTAAAAGTCCGGTTCACCTGCCACACATATTTTAAAATAATTATTTTGTAAGGTGATAAGAAAAAATATATTTATGTTATAAATAAATGAAAGTAATATTTTTTTTAGGTTAAATTGTATAAAATTTATATGTGGTTTTACTAAATTGAGTCAAGTCAAATCTTCGTACTTCTAAAAACTGTCTCAAACTCTTCGTAGTTTCGTAAACTCTACGTCCAAACTACGAATAAATTTTAAAATCTCAATTTTTAAATTCCTAAAATTACAAATATATTTATTTTTTTTTATATTTAGCCTCAAAAAATAGTAAAATTAAATTTTTAAAATCTGATAAAAATAACTATTTTTTTAGTATATTTACTATTTTTTGGACTAAATATAAAAAAATAAATATATTTATAATTTTATAGGTTTATGAAACCAGCGTATATTAATTAAATTAAATCAGCACCAAAACAAAATTAACTCAATCACTACAGTAACTAAAGCGCTGCCTATTGAATAAAATTCTGATTCTCAACGAAGAGTAACTGAGCTTTATCTCCACCATTTACTTAGCCTTAATATTATTACAATATAGTGCTCCTTTCGTAATTTAAATTTATTATTATTTTTTTATTTTAGATTTTCATTCAAATTTATTTTCGTTTTTTTAGTAAAAAAATTATAATTTTTTTTTACCAAAAAAATAAAAATTTTTATTCTTATATATTTCTTTTAAAACGATGAAATGAGTACATAATTTAATAATAGAGAAATTAAGTTTTATTTAATATTAAAGGATATGGAGCCACGAAACTTTGAGGGCCCTCTATATATGCGGGCTTTAAGTGCATGCACTCGTTTTAAATGTTACCATTTGTTTATTTATCTGTATTTGTACTTTTAAAATTTTTATTACTTTTAAATGAAATACTCTATTTTTTTTTACTTATCCATTTGGGTTACTATTGTAAATATAAGAATTTAAAAATTATATAATTCATAAATAATTTAAAATATATTAATAAAAATAATTATCACACAATCACACAATCACACAATCCATATATTTTGCATAGCGGGAGTTCCATGCAATATTTTTGAATATATAAGGGGATGTCGTCATGCAATTTTTAAAATAAATTAGAAATTTATGTTAAGTTTCGAAACTACAAGGGAGTTATATGGACAATTTTACCTTATTATTATTATTGTTGTTGTTTTTATAACGTGAAATCCGCAATCATTATCCGAAAATGCGCACGGGATAAATTTTCGGCCGAACTTAATACCCTGTCAGCTAGACCTAACAAAGCAAGTCACACTATGCAAAATCTGTATGAGAGGCGGACCTGAAAGCGTAGTCTAAACTTATTATTATTATTATTATTATTGGCTTTATAAGTAACTCATTGTATTACTTTTTAGTGTAAAAAACTTCTTAAACAAATAAATGGACATGAGAAGTTGAAATTAAATGACAAATAGTATTCATTTTGGAAGTAAGTCCTCTTCAATTCAATGAGCACCCATCTTCAACCCATCATCTCCGTTTATCCAGTGCAATTGCTACAGTAATTTTACTCTAATTATAACTTCATTTTTTATTTTTATTCTTTAAATATTCAATTTTTCCTATTATTTTAAACAATTTTTTATTTTTATAATTTAAAATAAAATTTTAAAAATTTTAAAAAATAAAAATTAAATTTTAAAATTAAATTTATAATTTTAAAAAATTAAAAAATTTAAAAAAAAATAGTGTTTGCTATAATGCAAATAGTTGCATTGTAGCAAACTCTAAATTTGGTGTTGCGAATGGCGCTGGATTGGAATAGCTCGGCGGCAAAAATAATGTTCGAACACCAGACATTGAGCATGTTGGATATGCTCTTAATCCCAGTTGAATAAACCAATGTAATCATAATAATAATAATAATAATAATAAAGCTTAAAGCCTTAAAGCGCAGCTGAGATGAGATGTTCTTTCCCGCAACGCATCCACTTTCCTATAAATATAAAGCTCCTCTTCTTCATCTCCTCTTTGCTTTCCTTTGTTTTTTTTTTTTTTTGTCTTTCAATTCAATGCTCTTTCTCCGATCTTATCATCAACTGCTTTACCTTTTTATTATGCACTGAATAATACTGTCATTGTTCTGTTCATTATAATTATCTGCAGGATGGCCGGAAATCGGAGACTCCGGCGGTGGCGCATCAATTTTTTCTACAGATCTTCAGCCAACTCCAAGGATCCGCCCAAGGAATTCGTCTGTCCGATTTCAAACTCCTTGATGTTCGATCCTGCCGTCGTTTCATCCGGCCAGACGTTTGAGCAACTCTGCGTCGATGTTTGCAGAGATTTAGGCTTCGCGCCTACGCTTCGTGACGGCTCCACGCCGGATTTCTCGACGGCGATACCGAATCTCGCTTTGAAAAGTGCGATTGAGAACTGGTGCTTGAAGTCAGGGCTGGAGTTCCCGAAGCCGCCGGTGTATTCGGATGTTGAATCGATTGTTCGATCTCGCAGCGGCTCCGCAGCCTCGGGGAAGGAAGAGAAATCGGAAATTAGGTATTTGGAGAGGGAATTGTTGAACGGAGTTACGGAGAAGGCTCCGATCTTGTTGTCGCACGCTGCGAGTGAATTGAACCGTAGGAATTTGTACGAATCTTCGAGCGACGACGAATCGGAGGAATCGGTTATCGCTAATGCGACGCCGCTGTTGCCGTTCGCTACACGACCGTCGTGCTTTTCGCACTGTTCTTCTTCGCCTTCAGTGTCGTCGGAGTTCTTCTCCGACGAGGCGTCGTCGAATTATTTTTCTGCTTCGTCTTCAATCTCTCCTTCGGAGGATGAAGATTTTGTGACGCAAATGAACAGTTTGGATGTGTATGACCAAGAGCAGGCTGTGATTCTTCTTAGGAAAACAACACGAACCGAAGAAGATTCTAGAACGTCGCTTTGTACAGAGAGGCTTCTAATGGCGCTGAAGAAGCTCTTGACGTCGCGATACGCCGCCGTGCAGAGCAACGCGGCGGCGGCGATCGTGAACATATCTCTCGAGAGGTGCAACAAAATCAAAATTGTGAGAGCAGGAATCGTTCCGATTCTAATCGAGGTTTTGAAAAATGGATTCGAGGAATCTCGCGAACACGCCGCCGGTGCGATCTTCAGCTTAGCGATTGAAGACGAGAACAAGACGGCGATCGGAGTTCTCGGCGCGCTGCCGCCGTTGCTGCACCTGCTCAGATCCGGAACGCGGCGGAGCCGCCGCGATGCCGCCCTGGCGCTTTACCACTTGACGCTGGTACAGAGCAACCGTAAGAAAATCATAAAGCTCGGCGCCACCGCCGTTTTAGTGGCGTTGCTGGCGGACAGAGAGGCGGCGGAGGCGGTGGTGCTGGTGCTGTGCAACCTCGCCGCGTGCGGCGACGGCAGGGCGGCGCTGCTCGACGCCGACGCGGTGGAGCGCTTAATGGCTGTTCTGAGAAACCGGTCCGAGTCGTACTCGGAGACGACTCGGGAGAATTGTATCGCGGCGCTACACTCACTGAGTCATGCGAACTCGAGGTTTAAAGCAATGGCGCGGAGCGCCGGCGGCGTGGAGGTGCTCCGGGCGGTGGCGGAGACAGGTAGCGAGCGGGCGAGGGAAAAGGCGCGGCGGATTCTGGCGGGGCTGCGGCGGCGGCAGGCGGCGGAGACGGAGGAAGTCGATTGGGAAGCCGTAATGAAAGGCGGCGTGGCTCAGATGAGATTCCGAGCCGGAGCGAGTTGCGAACGTAACTCGACCGAGTTCTGAGTTCATATAATTAAAATTAATTAGAAAATACGGGTAACTATTAGTTACATCTCTAATTAATAAGAAAATTACATAAGCCTCCCCTAAGAATCGTCAAATTACTAATTAAACCACATTTAGGAGATGGTTTTTAGTGGAATCATTTTAATCGTAAGGGCCTTTTCGTAGACACACACCATTACTCTATTACTATGGCCTACCTTTATGGTACTATTTTCTTAATTAATTAATTATTGGATAATAATAATAATAATAATAATAGCTTTGAGGGCCTAACATCTTTTTGTCACCTTTTGACAATTATATTAAAGTATTTTATCTTATATCAATATCTAGGCTGCGACTAAAGTGCAAAAACCATACTATAGTTTCAATACTATACCTATCTTACGATCACAAATTCAATCCTACACCGCCAGCCCATCAGGGATTAGAACCATCCCTTATATTTAATTAAGATTAAGATAGATAGTGGCCAGTCATGACTCATGATTTTCCTTCAATGGTAAGTAGAAATGCAATTAGAGTTGTAGAGCTCTTATACAATAATCATTGTATAAAAAATGTTAGTATTAATTTACATTACACCAATAGGAAGGGAACACAATGGCTATATATATATATGTTTAAATGCGCACGTATTTTGAAATTTTAAAATGTCAACGCGCACTGATGAATGTAGTTATATACATTTATATGTATATCTAGAATCATGGACCTTCGTACATGTTATCTAGCATGATTTGCTTTGTCTGATCTAATTTGCAGAATATTAAGTTCGACTGAGGTTTATCTAATGTGTACTTTCGAGTAGCAGCTGCGGATTCTTATATCATAAAAATAAAAATAAAAAATAAAAATTGATTTGCAGTTATATTGTTTAGAATTTTAACATTATCAAAATTATAGAAAAACGTCATTGAAAAATAAAACGGTAGAGAAAATAATTTATTATTATGTTTGATAAAATAAATAAATAATTAAAAAAAATACTTTCTCCATCTATTTATCTATTTTAAAAATGTATGTTTACTTATGATGCGAAATTTAAATTTAAAAATGTATGTTTACTTATGATGCGAAATTTAAAAAATAATAATATTTTAATTGTAATGGTTAGATAAAGTAATATAAAAATAATTTTTATTTGTAAAAAGAAAGTAAAATCCATAATTATTAAAAATAATAATAATAATTTTTTATTAGACAATACAAAATAGTAGAAAGAGTAAGCATAACTGAAAAATATAGAATTAATCTATTTGAAATATTAGAATATATAGCAAAATGATTAATAAAGAGAAGATGATTAATCCGGTAATAAAGTTTCAATAGAGTTCAAACTTGTGGATAAATGTTAGGGTATTTAATTGAAGTTTTTAAAAAACAAAAAAAAAAAAAAAATACATAATCACTTGTTTAACGCAATATTTTATAAAATAAAACAATGCATTTTTATTAAAAATTATAAATATTAAATTAAAAATTAAAAATATATGAGTATATTAAATGAACCAACCTAATATTTCTCATTTTTTATTTTTTATTTTATTTTTCTGCATATAAAATAGAAAGAGAATCAAATAATACAAAATATTTAAAAAAAAAAAAACACAATTATATTAATGAATAAATTTTATAATAGAATTACATAAATATTATTAATATTGTTACCTTCATCCAGGCTTTAGGCTTCGGTCCAAATTGTACCCTGTGTATTATGTCCAACTAATACAAATATGGCATATGGAAGGTAATATTTAATGCTTTTTTTTTTTTTTTTTGGTTGGGTTTGAAAAAATTTAGTTTGATTTTGATATTAAAATAATATTTGATGGGATATTTTGTGAGAGAAAAAAATATATTTTTTTCGGGAAACTCAAAGTTCAAATAATAAAATTTGTGTAAAAAACATATTAGTAGAAAAAAGTGAAAAGAATTAAATCAATTTGTAAATTAGTCCTCGCCAATTTGTTTCCCATCCCTAACGTAAATTATCCCGCTTCGACCTCGGCTTATTGTTTTTTCTCCACCGACCTAGACGCTCTTGCCCGACCATTTGCTCCTCTCGAGAACATTTACGCAGGCAGAAATCCTAGGTCGAAACAATCGCGAGTGCCACCGCTCTCGTCGTCGACACCACCGAAAAGTAAGGGTTTTATCCAAAATATTTTTACTTCTTTTTATTGTATACATATTATAGGTAATGGAGATTGATGAGCCGACTATGAATAATTTTTCGTCTTCGTGTAAATTAGACTTACGAACATAAAAAATGATGGTCAATCTTATAATATCATCGGGGGTGCGGCTCATGACAAGAGCAGGGTGAGCAACTGCTCAGGCCCCTAATTAATAGGTGGTACATATTTTAAATTATTATTCATTATTATTATTATTATCAAATTTTAAACTTAAATTTTAATTTGTATAGTTTATATTTTTTTTCTATCTGTTTCTTCCTAATCATGTCTCGCCATATCTTTTCAAATTTAATCGTCGTCTACATTTTTTTACCTCACACCTGTCGCATTGCACCCGCCAACTCAGACCAAAGCTGTCTCACATTCTCTCTTATCTCTTTCACCTTGCTTCAGTCATTCTCGCTTTTCGAACTTTCAGACAGATCGTCTTTCATTTTCTTTTCTCAAATTGGCATTGTCCAGACAGTCACGTTCAATCTCTTATCCAATCGACACCAATCAGTGATATTATTTTGAAAATATATTTTAATAATGTATTTATAGGATTTATAATTTATTTTTGCTCAGTGACCCAAAAAAGTCCGAGACAGCCCTGATCATCACATTTCTCCCAAAGAAATAGCTCAAATTGAAAGAAAGTTCGACAATAAAGATAACGCTTACCAGTTACTTAGCTTATGCTAAGAAAATATGTTTTGGCATGTGAAAACACACAACATGCTGAAAAGATCGAGCAGAAAGATAAAATTTAAAACGTTTTGTTGTAGTGCCGAAGGTATAAAGGGAGAAGATAAACGAAATATCAATATGAAAGTTCCATAACCAATAATAAGATTCAGTTGTAAGAAAATGATGAAAATTCGATTGAAGAATAATAAAAAATACAAAATGTTTGAGTTTATATTTAAGCACACTCATTAGTTCACTAGTCTTTGGAAATCTCAACTTAATTAAAATATGATCATTTTCTACTTTTAATAAATTTATTTATTTTAAACATACTTAATAAATATAAATTAATTTAATTGAATTTCTAATCTTTTACGTGTGAAACTCCTTTATTTTAATTTTTTTTTATAAATAAATATTTTTATCTTTTATCTATTTTTATTATATAAAATTTTATTATTTAGAAAATAATATATATATTATATATTTTATTGAAATGTAATGTTAAAAATATTTAAAATACCAATAAAAGTATTCATATAAAGAATAAATAAATAATATTATAACTTATATAAAAGTTGAAAAATACAAATAAAGCAAATCTCAAATACATGAACATTCTGATCGACGTGGGGCGCTCAATCTTATTACATACATACATACATACATTCCCTCCCCATTTATTATTAATTTATTTTCATTTTCTTTTTCGATTTTTTTTTTTCTTCGTCTTCCACGAACGTGGCGGCTACCACCACCACCACCACCCTTTCCCCTCCCCCAAATTAAATTAATTCTACAATACATACATACAATACATATATATATATACATGCATTCAGGACTTAAAACAAACAAACAAGACAAGACCTTCACTTCACACAAAAATGGCGGCACCACCATCGCCACCGTCTTCCGCCGCCGTCCGCCGCCGGCTGCTCCTGATCCTTCTCGCAATGGCCGCAATTCACGGCGGCGCCGGCGCGCTGGCTTTCAATAACAACAACAGCTACGGCTACAATTACGCCGACGCGCTTGACAAGACGTTCTTGTTCTTCGAGGCGCAGCGCTCGGGAAAGCTGCCGGCGGCGCGGCGCGTGGCGTGGCGCGGCGACTCCGGCCTCTCCGACGGCTACGGTCAGGGCGCGAACCTCGTCGGCGGGTACTACGACGCCGGAGACCACGTGAAGTTCGGGCAGCCGATGGCCTTCGCCGTCACAATGCTGGCGTGGGCCGCCGTGGACTGCCGCCGCGAGCTCGCCGCAGTCAACCAGATGGGCCACGCGCTTGAAGCTATCAAATGGGGCACCGATTACTTCATCAAAGCCCATCCTCAGCCCTCCGTCCTTTGGGCTCAGGTAATTTTAAAAAATTAAAAATTAAAAATTAAAAATTAAAATATTTATTTTATTTTATTTATTATTTATTACACAAATAACATTTTCCCTCCATCAATCTTAATTTTGTTGTTGGGTACGAATTTTAAAAATATTGATATTATATTGATAGTCGATAAAAAAAATATTACTAATTTTTTTTTTACCTTTACAGAGTGTAATAATGTAGAAAATAATGACTTATGTAATGATAATAAAAAAATAATAGTATTGGTATATGATTATTTATGATATTGAAACTATTATTTTGAGACATACAAAAATAATAAACAAAAATATTATATTGTATCAGAGCTAAACACTTGTAAGAACAAAAATTTCTACCAACTGTATATATTTTTTAAATCCCTTAAAAAAAAAACATAAATTCTTTCTTTTTGGACGGTAGTAAGATTAGTTTTTATTTGTTTGTTTTTACTTTGTCCGCTGTAAAAATAAATATTTTATTTTTACGATCATCCAAATATATATTTATTTTCAAATTTGTGTGTCTAATAACTATTATATTTGATGATTTTAAGAAAGAAAAAAACATTATAAATAGTGTTGGATAAAGCCGGACCTTATCGATGTATTTGTTAGGTTGGTGATGGTGCATCAGACCACTATTGTTGGGAACGGGCGGAGGACATGACGACATCGAGGACGGCCTACAAGCTCGACCCGGAGCACCCCGGCTCGGACCTCGCCGGAGAGACTGCCGCCGCCTTAGCCGCGGCGGCGCTAGCTTTTAAGGATTATGACTCTGCCTATAGTAATCTTCTCCTTGTGCACGCAAAACAGGTTAGAATTGTTTGGACCAATTAGTTAGTTATAAACTTGTAAGAATATTACAACCATTTTTTTAGTTAATCTAATTCTACCTAACACAAACATTATTGGTAAGAAAAACAACATTATTTTATGTGGATTTATTTTTTATTTAAAATATTACATTTTCATCGATACAGATATTCTCGTTCGCGGATAGATTTAGGGGATTTTACGACGATTCAATACAAAACGCCAAGAATTTCTACGACTCCTCTAGTTATTCGGTACGCCAAATTTAATGTATTCGATTGTCGCCTTTTTACACAAATAATTCATTTCTATTATTATTTATTTTTAGGACGAGCTTTTGTGGGCTGCGGCGTGGCTCTACCGTGCATCGGGCGACAACTACTACTTGAAATACACGATCGATAATTGTGCATCGTTGGGCGGGACGGGCTGGGCCGTCAAGGAATTTTCATGGGACAACAAGTATGCCGGGATCCAAATTCTTCTTACAAAGGTACCTTTGTTGTTACAATATGATCCAACACAAACTTTGATTAAGGGTGCGCAATATTACCGATTTTCGTTTTACCGATCAAATTCAAAAATTTGAATTCGGTAATTTGGTAATTCGAACGATATTTAGATATGCCGAATTCAATGTTTTTAAAATTAATTCGAATTTAGTTTGACCATTTTTTAATTCGGATTTACCGATTTTGAATTCAAATAATTAATTTATTTAATATTATATATACATATATTTTATTTTTCAAAAGAAATACTTTATATAACACCCATTCACAAAAGGTTAATGATTTATAATTTTATATTATTATATTTAATTGTATTAGTATAATATTTTAAATAAATTAATAAATTTAAATCATCATAATTCAATTTTTTATGTTTATGAATTTAAATTGAATTTGTTCGGAAATTTTTTTATATCCGAATTTCCAATTTCGTTTTAGATGCACACCCCTAACCACAATGTCTTCTAATTCAATTCGATTCAATTCAATCTGATCCTTTTTGTATTCGTATAGGTTTTGTTTGACGGAGCCGGAGGCGAATATGAGTCCACGTTGCAACAATATCGCGCCAAAGCCGATTACTTCACTTGCGCTTGTATGCAAAAAAACGACGGCTACAATGCCCCGATGACTCCCGGTAGTTATATTACATCGCTAGCTCGATTTATTATCGCATCAATTTTTTTTTGTGCAAACTTGTAATGATAAGCCTTTTTTTTTTGTTTAGGGGGGCTTCTATATATACGCGAATGGAACAATCTTCAATACTCCGCCTCGGCTGCGTTTCTTCTTTCCGTATACTCCGACTATCTCTCGAAGGCAAAAAGCGTCGTCAAATGTCCCGACGCCCAACTCCTTCCTCAAGAGCTCCTCAACTTCGCCAAATCGCAAGTAAGTTGTTATTGCAAAGACATCTGTCTATCAAATCTTGTAATAAAATGATGTATTTTTCTAACAGCTTAAGAATTTGTCATGTCTTAGGCGGATTACATTCTTGGCAAGAATCCTGAGTCGATGAGCTATTTAGTGGGATACGGTCGAAACTACCCGGTGCACGTTCATCACCGGGGGGCTTCGATCACACCGGTCTCGATTTTACATTCGCCAGTTGGATGTGTCGAAGGATTCGAGACGTGGTACAAGAGACTTGAGCCCAACCCGAATGTCATATACGGAGCCCTCGTTGGCGGTCCGAATTCGAAAGACAAATTCTTCGACGATAGGTCAAATTACGAACAAACCGAACCTACTTTGTCCGGGACAGCCCCGCTCGTCGGGCTCTTCTCCAAGTTGTGCGGTAAAAAAAAATTAAACTGAACTTTTGAAACGAACGTTTGTGTAGTAAATTTTAATTTACTAGTTTACCGTCTAATATTGGCGTGTATGTTTAATCCAGGTTTGGACAACAAAGAATCGCCGAAACCCTCCGACCCTTATAACAAACCACGAGGTTTGTCCTAAACCTTCAAATCGGTTTATTTTTTAAAGATCGAATAGTCTAATATTTTCACGTGTGTCTAATCCAGGTCCATACAACAAAGAATTGCCGAGACCCTCCAATCCTTACAACAAACCTCAAGGTTTGTTAAATTTTCCCATCTTTCTATCGTATTATATATTTTTTCAAATGATCGTGCCAAATACTATTTAAAACATTGTCGCAATCGATCATCCAAGATGTCCTAACATCACATTCTTGTCTTATCTACTACAGAAATCGATGTCCCAGTTCGATTCCTTCACTCAATAACAAATACGTGGAACGTTGGCTCAGAATCTTTTTACCGACACAAAGTGATCGTAAAAAATGTGTCCCCAAAGCCCATAAGGGAAATAAAGTTCCGTTTCGAGGGACTCACCGGATCGCTTTGGGGATTGTCGCCGGCGCCGGAGAAGAACACTTACCAATTGCCCGAATGGATCCAAGTACTTGAACCCGGATCCGAATGCACATTTGTATATGTACAAGGTGGTCCTCAAGCCAAAGTGTCCGTACAAAGTTACCATTGATATCTTGACAAGATTGTCTCGAGATGGAATTTATGTTTTTTTTTTTCCTAATTTTATTGTCATTTTTATTCATGTTTTGTTGATTAAAATGGCTAGTAATTGGTTTTTGCAAATTGAAAACTTTATCATGTAAAGTTATATGAATTTTGGGGATTATCAATGATGTATTTGATAATCAAATTAAAATCATTATTAAGATTAAGTTCTTTGCATTGGTTTTTTATTTTTGCCCATTTTTTAAACTTTAATAAAATATAGTACTTATTTTCATGAAAAAATTATATTTAATCTTTATGTTATTCCAATAAAAAATAAAATGTACAAAATACAAATCAAACACACCCTAAAATTTCGTTCCATTTGCATTTTTTTTTTCATTTTAAAACTATCTATTACGAGGGTGTTTAAATAATTTTTTCAAAATTTTTTAACTTATTGAAGAATTTTTAATCAGTAAATCAGCTAATTTTTGTATTTGGTAAATTAGCGTTTTTAATTAATTATCAGGTTAGTTTTTTTTTTCTTATTTTTATTTGTCTTTAAAATTAATTAATTCTTTCATGTATATTAATATATATTTTTATTACACTATTCATTAATTATTTTGATATATATTTTTTAAATAACTTATAAATTCATATTTATAAATTTAAAATAATTATTTTTTATATGTCAATTATTTTATTAATAATTTTTTAAAAATTTTTTTAGAATAAAGATAATATTAAAATATTAATATTATTATATTTTTTATCATATAATATTTTTATTAAAAATAATATATTTATTTAAAATTATAAATTTAATGTAAATATATATTAATTAAAAATTAATTTAATAAAAATATATATATTAATAATTTTTGTTCTTTTATATTCGTACTATTTCTAATGAAAAAATTATATATTTTTCAATAAATTTGAATTAATTTTTTATAAAATATTTTAGAAATAATAAAAATAAATATCTTAATAAATTTTTAAAATTAATAATAAAATTCTAAAAAAGTCTATCCACAGAAAAAAAAAACTCAACTAAGCATATTGAAAATAACATAGCTTAATCGAATCAACTATCAGCCAAACACTCAAGTGAGGGATGTCTCACCCATTGATCTACGTCTCACCCCTTGATCTACAAGGGTTTAACTTGTATTTGAGTTTGGTTTGAGGTTTGAGAGTTTCAATATATATTGATTTCATAGATAATAATATAATAATATAAATGTGTATTAAATTTAATTGATAAAATTAATAGTAGTATGATTTGATTATGGATTTATATTACATACAACATATATATTTTTAAATTTTTATTTATTTGTATTATAAAAAAATTTATTCTCTACAAAATAACATATATATTGTATTTTTTTTTAATCTATAATTATTATTAATATTAAATAAATTATTATTTATATATTTTAAAATAAAGAAAAAAAAAAGGAAGCAAACATAGAGCTGCTACACCTTGCAATGTGTTGTCCTATTTAGCGGCAGCCTTTGTGATAAGACCAAAAATGAAAAACTGTCAATTACTCCTTCCGTTCCATGTAATATGAGTGTATTACTGTAGACGCGGGAATTTGTGTAAAGTATAATTAGTATAATTAATAAGTAATTAAGAAGTGTATTAGTAAAAATAATTATTATAGTAAAAATAATTATAGATTAAGATTAAGATAAGTAAATAGTTTAATTAAAGTTAAAAAAATTATAAAATTTAAAATTTAAAATCTGATTAAAGTACATAATTATATTTTTAAAAATAGAAATAATAAGTTAGGTGGGAGGGACGAAAATAGAAAATAGCGACAAATTATGTGAGACAGAGGGAGTATTAAGTAAATAAAGGAGAATTATTATTTCCTAATCAAGCAAAATGACCTAATTAGCTCCAACCGATAAAGTATGATTTATTTATATAATGAATAATAATTAAAAAAAAAAAAAAGAAAAAAAAAAACTTAAATTTGAAAAGAATATTCGTGGTGACAAACAAACATAGGAGTAGTATTATTATTAGTATCATTATTAAATGGCTCAAATTTTTGTTACTAAAAATACTAAAGGAAAAGACTAAAATATCCCTTTCGTTTATAGGCGTTTCGAAACGTGTCGTTCCACTGTTATATACATCTGTTGAAAGGACTCAAATGAGTCCAAACCCAGTGTAGTAGTGCAGAAACAAGAGAGAGAAAGAGAGAGAGTGCGACGGCGACGGCGACGGCGACGTGGATAAGGAACTTGCTCCGATCTGAGTACTCGAGCAATCGGAAATTTTCTCTGCACTGATGGCGGTTACCATTCCGACGCGGCAGCTTTTCATCGACGGAGATTGGAAAGCACCGATCAGCGGAAAGCGCATTCCGATTATCAATCCGTCCACCGAAGACACTATCGGTTATCCTCTTTCATTAACTGCTCTCTCTGTTTTGTTATGTTTTTACTTCTGATGTTGGATTAGCGGTTTTTATCGTCCTTTTTTGTTTAACTAAAGTTGCCTTTAGTTGCATCCAATGTTGTGGAAGGATCTGTTTTTGCGAATCACTGGAAAATAGAAACGAAATTTGATCTATGTCTCTTCACTAGGTTGATTTGGAACTTCGTTTGGAATTAAGGAAATGATGTGGTTCACTGGTTCGTTTGTTTATATGGACCAAAAGGAAAAGGATAAGATACTAGGAGTCAATTATTTAGCACAGCTCCAAACTGATACTCGAAATTCTTACGATTTGTGTATTTCAGGGTATATTCCGGCAGCTACCGCCGAAGATGTGAATGTTGCAGTAGAAGCTGCTCGGAAAGCATATTATCGTAATGGAGGCAAAGATTGGTCATCAGCTGCTGGAGCACACCGAGCCAAATATTTACGAGCGATTGCTAACAAGGTTCTCTACGATGTTTACTTTTCATTGTACCTAATGCTATATATGTTTTTGAAATTGCATCATTTGACATTCAATTTAGCCTATACAATTGATAAATTCACTAGTATTAGGTCTCAAATTCAAGGTGCTTAATCTCTCTAATAAATGCAGATCAAAGAAAGGAAGCAGGAACTGATTAAGCTTGAAGCAATTGATTGTGGGAGGCCATTGGATGAAGTTGCTTGGGATATGGTATATTTTCTTAAACATTCGCTGACTTCGTCGTGTTATTCTCTCCATCTTGATGCTTAATGTTCTATGTTATCCAGGATGATGTTGTTTCATGTTTTGAATACTTTGCTGATGCTGCTGAAAAACTGGATTCGGAGCAACGGGCTCCTGTATCACTACCAATGGAAGCATTCAAGTGTCATGTTCTGAAAGAACCAATTGGTGTTGCCGGTTTAATCACGCCATGGTAAGCGTACACTAGTCGATAAGCTTATTCATTTCGGGACAATGGTTCCACGAAGCACTAGTCCTGTGGTTTTCTATATGCCAACCACATTACACTTATTGTCGATTGCCTTGTGCATTTATAGGAATTATCCTCTGTTGATGGCTATATGGAAGGTTGCCCCTGCCTTAGCAGCCGGGTGTACTGCTGTTCTTAAACCTTCGGAACTAGCTTCAGTGTATGTCTTCTTGATGTTCATCTTCCTTGTGCTTGGTGTTCATGCTCCATGTTTTCATTTTCTCTCTCTTGGATATTCAAATTGAATTATGATATTGAAAATGGGTATCGATTACCTAATCCATTGAGTTGATAAACATTTTCTGTGATTTCAACTGCAGAACTTGTTTGGAGTTGGGTCAAGTGTGTAAAGATGTTGGTCTTCCACCAGGTGTGCTCAACATTATACCTGGTTTGGGGCCCGAAGCCGGTGCCCCTCTGGCTGCGCATCCTCTCGTTGACAAGGTCATATCCATGAGATTTCTTCTTATCCCAACATAAATGGTATTTTAACGCTAATTTCATATTTGATGTGCAGATATCATTCACAGGGAGCGGTGCTACAGGAAGCAAAATCATGACATCTGCTGCGAAACTCATTAAAGTACGTCGGCATTGCAGCTACATATACATACAACATACGCATATGAAGGTTTTCCTCCTAAATCTTTTTTCTCCTCTTAATGCAGCCCGTTACAATGGAGCTCGGTGGAAAAAGCCCCATTATTGTATTTGAGGATGTTGATCTCGACAAAGGTGACTTTTTCGGATATGTTCATTTCTAATAAAATGTGCTCACTTTCCACTGGTGTCCCCATTGAAAACAGCTGCCGAGTGGACTATTTTCGGTTGCTTTTATGCAAATGGTCAGATATGCAGCGCAACTTCTCGGCTCCTAGTCCATGTGAGCTATCAAAGAAAATGATTGATCATAATCTTCGATAATCTGATGTACCTAATATTTGGGACACAATGTGAAATATTCCAGGAAAGCATTGCATCGGCATTGGTGGAGAAGCTCGTGAAATGGAGCGAGAACATTAAAATAGGCGACCCCTTTGAGGAAGGTTGCCGACTCGGCCCTATCATTAGTGCACAACAGGTAACAAATCTCATTCATTGTCACTGTCATAGATTACACGACTACGTACTTAACTGCAGAGGACTTCTCGTCAAAAATTTTGTTAGTATGAGAAAGTGATGAAGTACATCTCGACAGCAAAGGAGGAAGGAGCTACAATCTTATACGGGGGCGAACGACCACCGGTATACCTTCCATCGAACCTTTTACTGCTTTTACACACGATTCATTAGCAGTGGGCAAAAAATTGAACCGAATTTTCGGTTAACCGAGCAAATTCGGTTCGAATACAATTACTGCATATATGATATTTATTTTGTTCGGTTTCGATTTTTGATTTTTGATTTTTTTTTTGGTTCAATTAAACGAACCGAATATATTTATTTGATTATATATTAAATTTTATATTAATAATTATATTCGGTTTCGGTTTAGGTTCAGTTTGAATATTTGAAATATTTGCAAATATTTTTATTTAATTATTTTTTTAATTTTTGTTCAGTACTAATTATTTGTAAATATTGCAAATATTTTCGGTTCGGATACAATTTGCGGTTTCGTGTATTTATTTGGTTTGGTTCGGATATCAAATACATGCATATCTGCAAATATTCGAACTGTGTCCTAACACTGTGTTTAACTTGCAGCATTTAAAGAAGGGCTTCTATGTTCAGCCGACTATAATAACCGATGTGACGACCTCAATGCAAATATGGAAAGAGGAAGTCTTCGGACCTGTTATTTGCGTTAAACCATTCAAAACCGAAGAGGAAGCCATTGAGCTAGCTAACGATACTCAGTAAGTCGGGTTTCATTCCCTCTGTCATGCTCTTCAATTCCCCGAACTTCTTTAAATAGTTTGGCGCCGTTTTATTTCACCAGTTACGGTTTGGCTGCTGCTGTGTTATCCGAAGATCTGGACAGGTGCGACCGCGTGGCTAAGGTAAAAAAACAATCTTACAACCTCATTAAGATGAATTTTATTCGATCTCTTTTATTTATTTTTTTTCTAAATGTTATTGTAAATTTGTTGTCGCTTGCAGGCATTCGAAGTAGGCGTTGTTTGGGTGAACTGCTCGCAGCCGTGCTTCTGCCAAGCCCCTTGGGGCGGCAAGAAAAGGAGCGGCTTTGGTCGCGAACTTGGAGAAACGTAATAAACTAACAAACGCTGTTTCTCATTCACTCATTGTTTCATTTTTATTTGAAGCTTTTTCGTTCTCTGCAATATTTATGAAAATACGAGCGCAATATTTTTTAAAATATGATAGATCTTTGTGTTTCGACTTATCAGGGGGATCGACGACTACTTGAGTGTAAAGCAGGTGACGCGATACGCGTCGAGCGAGCAATGGGGGTGGTACAAGCCCCCTCCCAAGCAGTGAGAGTTGTCGAGATCGATCGATTGATCGACCGACCGACCGGGGAGAAGCTTCTAGAAGGTGGTTTGCTCGACACTTGTAGTCTTGAATTGAGGTAATAAATGGATTTTTATTCCATGGAAGGACTGCCTTATTGTGTTATATGGTGAGCATCGAACCTTTTCTTATATGTCTTTAATGTGGTTTTGTGTTTACATTTTGGGATTGTTCATTTGCATTGTTTGTTTGTGTTTTATTTTTTCTTTGATGAAATAGTAAATAGGTATTTTATATTTAACTAAAAAATAAATTGTTAATAATAATAATAATAATAAGTTTTGATTATTTTGGGTTTGAATTTTTATATTTTAGATATAGAAATATTTTTATAAGTTGATAGCATTGTTGTAGTAACGTATAAAATATAAGAATTTTTATAAAAATTGTGGAAAATACAATTACTAAGCAAACACACCCAATGGGTTTATTCTTGTGTTTCTACTTTGCAGATGACATAATTATTTATAAATATAGTATAATATATATTAACACTATATATAAATATTTTTTTACTCATAAAAATTTACTTTTTAATATAAAATGTTATTTTTATATTATTGTTATAATTATTCGTATCTAATATAAATAAATAACTTTATTCAAATATATATATATATATGAAGTGAATAAATCCGTTTTATTCAACATATATTTATAGATATATAAAACCTCCACACGAAAAAGGAAACAAAAAAAACAGTACTAAGTAGTTACTTTTAAAAAATATATTTTTAAAAAAATATATATTTCTAAACAAAATATAATATATTATATACATTCATTATTTTTATATTATATAAACCTATCTTTGTACTTAATATAAAAAAATATATATTACTTCTGTCTGCCTCTAAGCATTATTGTACTTAATATTAAAAATCAGACGAAGATAATATTTTTTTTTCCAAAACAGTTTCATTGAACAAACAAATCCAACTCTCTTTAGACAAATAATAAACTACTATTAATTTTATTTTATAATATTCCTTTTGTAGTCTCACACTGTAGTTGATACAATAATTTAAATATTTTTAAAAAGAATGTGACTAAGAAATAATTAAAGATGTATCAAACGAAAATTGTGATATAATACGCGAGATAAAGGAAATATTTATTATATTTTTTAAAAAATATTTTAGTTAATATTCTTACACACTATTTATTACATATATACAAGATTATACATTTAATGAGAATAAAACAATACTTATATAATGAAAGAATATAACAATGATCCCATAAGGATGGCCTGACGGTTTTTTTATGAACTTATTACCGTGAAGTTATGGGTTTAAAAATATTTACTCAAAAACACAAAACTCAAATTCTTTAAAGTTGGTGTTCTTTTATCAAATTTTCACTATTCAATTATTTTTATAAAAATATTAAATCAAATATATATTTTATATCATATCATATAACTATTTATGTTACATCATATCATATCATGTAACTATTCTAATCCAAAATTTTTACTATTTGAATTTTCTTTAAAAAAATCCAAATTCCTAAACAAACACATCATACACTCTTTTATCTACAACCAATGTATCAATTTAAGTAGTTCACATTTTTTATTTAAATAATATCTTTTTATTCCTTAAAATTATATCACTATTTTTTATTATATGCTAAATTTATGTATATTTTTATTTATAGTAAACAATTTTATTCATGTATAATTTTATTATTTATACTTTAATAAATAATAATTAATTTATCATTAAATTTTTTATTTAATCTATTATATTTTGACTAATTCTTTAACAATTTTTTTTTTTTTTATATAATATTGAAAAACCTTTTGAGTTCTATGCTGCCAACTTAATCAAGTTACTTATAGCGATTTATTTTATAAAATAAAATAACATTTTTATTAGAAATTATACAAAATAAATAGTGTTAAATTTTAGTTTCAAATTGTAAGTACAAACCTCGAATTTCTAATTTAAAAAAATGATTCTATACATTAAAATACTTTTATATTTTATTTAAATTTATATTTATACCATTGTCTATTAGTTATATTTTTTTTAAAAAAAATATTTTAATAATTCGTCATAAAAAAATAAATTAATAATTGTATTCTTACAAACTTTTTATGTATAAAATACTACTTACATTCCTCAATTATTTAGAAAACAAATAAAATATATAGATGGGTAAGAGTAGCAGAAAGTACTACAATCAGCAGATTATGGAAATTTAATTCAACATACTGACTTGTAAAGGTAAGAGCTAACTGCATATAAATGGAAAATTAACATTAATAAATAAATTAATTAATAAATAAATAAAACTGCCTCTGAATTTAATTTTGCCATAATTTAGATAGTTTTTATACTTTATTTGTAAAATTTTCATAAGTTCTATTTGAAAGAATAAAAAATAAATTTTATATGAAAATAAACAAAAATACAAAAAAAACAGGGTATATTTCTTTACAAAATTTTTTTCAAATCTTATTATTTGGACTATGTTTTTTCAAGAAAAAAAATAAAATATATTTTTTCTTCTCACAAAATATCGTATGAAATATTATTTTAATACTTTGTCTGTCCGATAAGAAGAGTTCTAATTTTTCATTTTATTTCGTACTAATTTAGTAATTTTATTAACTGTTAACATAATAAATACTCTTCCAACTTATAATATATTACACAGATGCCACCATCTTTATACTTCTTCTGTCCCACGTGTTTCTATTTTTTATTTTCGTTCGTCCTACATAATTTGTTATTTTTTTTTTTGAAAATTAATTATACACTTTAATCATATTTTAAAATTTACGATTTAAAATTTTTTAAATCTTATTTAAACTATTTAGTTATTATTTTTACTAAATAATTATTATTTTTACTAATACACTTATTAATTAATTCTAGTATCTACGGTAATGCGTCAATCTTATCTAGAACGGAAAGAGTATTACACTATACTGATAAAAATATTTTTGTATTTTTTACTGTAACCTAATACTCCCTCCGTCCCAAATCTATCTATCCATTTTGTTTATACACCAGATTTTAGGAATATTAGTATTATATTGGGATAAAATAGAAATAAATGTAAAAAGACTAAATTAACCGTATTGTATGATATAAATGTAATGACTTTTATGTATATTGTAAATTAGAAGGATATTTGTAATGTTAGGTAGATAGTATAATTACTTAAAAAAAATAAAAAAAAATAAAAAAATAAAAAAAGACCAAAATAAAAAAATGGATAAATTATTAAAGGACAAAAGGAATGAAGTATAATATTAATATTAAAAAATATACAATCAAACGTTATTATTTGTATAGGTCGAATGAAATGCTAAATTCAAATCAAAATTTCAAAAAACTCAACAAACAGAAACACAATCAGGATAATTTAAGAAATTAGAAAGTAAGACGATAATAAATTCTGAGGGTAGACTTAAATTACGTAACTGCCCCTAGACGTGACATCATATAGTACAAATATATATCGCTGTATAGAAAACTGCGACGATCTTGTTTTAGTACAGAGTGAGTGTTAAAAGCAATTGGGTGTCTTCTTCATCCGGAGCTATGGCGATTCCAATTCCGACACGGCAGCTCTTCATTGACGGCGAGTGGCGAGAGCCGATCAAGGGGAAGCGCATTCCGATCATCAATCCCAGCACTGAACAAACTATCGGTTAATTGATTTCTTCACTTAATTTAGTTTTCGTATTCAGTATTAGCACTTTTATCTCCTCTGTTTTGTTTCTGCTCGACTGCGTGTTTTTCTGTCGGATCTAGTCTGTGAATTGATTTACTGTTGAAAAGGATAATAAATTAGTTTGTCACGTTTTTACTTGGTTGACTTGGAATCAATTTTTCAATAATTTTTTTGGAATTTGATGAAAGGGATTTGGTAACTGGCGTGCTGTTTTTCAATTTCATGGACCAAAGTGTAAAATATAATTAAGTTTTTGGTGCAGCTTAACTGATGCTCGAAATCCTTGCGTTTGCGCATTTCAGGGGATATTCCTGCTGCTACTGCTGAAGATGTGGATATTGCGGTAGAAGCTGCACGGAAAGCATTTTTCCGTAATGGAGGCAAGGATTGGTCTTCGGCGACGGGAGCACACCGAGCCAAGTATTTACGAGCCATTGCTGCTAAGGTTTTATGGTTTCTTTGGATATTGTTAACTCAGCCTTTATGTGACTTAATTCTGCTGTATATTTGTTGGCTTGATTTATCAAATTAATTTATTGGATTTGCACAATCCATGTTCGTTTTGGGGATTTATCTTGCAGGTAATTGTAAATTTGGTGATGTGTCATTGTTATTTGTGGCTATAAAATCTAGCAAAACTTTCTATGGTTATCTTTTTCATTTACTTGCAGATTACGGAAAGGAAACCGGAGCTAGCGAAACTTGAAGCGATTGACTGTGGGAAGCCATTAGAGGAAGCAGCTTGGGATATTGTATGACCTCAATATATATATGTGTGTGTGTATTGGTCTATTGTAAATATTTGCTTAAGATGTGTGTTTATTATCTGTCTTGTTCAGGACGATGTTGCTGGATGTTTTGAATACTTTGCTGATGTTGCCGAAAATATGGATTCGAAGCAAGTTACTCCTATTTCTGTGCCGATGGAAGCATTTAAGTGTCATGTTGTGAAAGAGCCCCTCGGTGTAGTTGGTTTAATCACACCATGGTAGATGCTCATTCAATTGGTGAAAAGATTTGCTTTCTAAATAATTTTGAAGAGTATATTATTTGTGTGTTCATTTTGGTTGCACGCGGTTATCCTTTATATGGGGGTGTGTTTATTTTTCGGCAACTAAATCATGTGTGTAGTCACGCTCCCCATGATATGGCTATATATTGAAAATGGTAAATAAGTTATACTAGCTGTAGTACAAAAGAATCGGAAGGGCTATTTTATGACACATTTTCCAGATGAAGGATTGTGCCGTATTTCTCTTTTTGGAACCAAAGTATTACAAATCCTTTCTTGTTTTTATAGGAATTACCCTTTATTAATGGCGACATGGAAAGTTGCCCCGGCACTGGCTTCTGGTTGTACGGCTATTCTAAAACCATCCGAAATGGCATCAATGTAAGTCTTCATGATATTCATCATCCATTGGTATGAAATTTTTGGTCGAGCACTAGTCACTTAAGGTACTTAGATTACATCAATTGCAGAACTTGTTTGGAGTTGGCGAATGTTTGTAAGGACATAGGTCTTCCACCCGGCGTGCTAAACATTTTGACTGGTTTGGGGCCAGAAGCTGGAGCCCCTTTGGCTTCACACCCCCATGTCGACAAGGTCCGTAGTGTTTCTTATTTGTTCGAGTCTAGATATTGATAATTGTGTTTAATCATACTTCAAAATCGATGTACAGATTGCATTCACAGGGAGTAGTGCTACCGGAAGCAAGATCATGACTGCTGCTGCACAGCTTGTGAAAGTACGTCTCCTACAATCTTGAGTTTGCACAATCTGACGTTATTTTCAAATATATTTATTTAATTTCTGGCGTTGCAGCCGGTTACGTTGGAGCTTGGCGGGAAAAGCCCAATTGTTGTGTTTGAGGATGTTGATCTTGATAAGGGTTAGAACTTTCGAAACTAGAATTATAGTGACATAAGTGTTGCATTTTTCGGAAGCATTATAGAATACTGATTTTGATTAATCTATCGATCGTGCTAACTTTCAACTTGGTTTCTATTTGGTTCAGCTGCCGAGTGGACTCTCTTTGGTTGCTTTTGGACAAACGGTCAGATATGCAGCGCTACTTCTCGTCTCTTAATCCATGTAATTACGACGAAACCTCTCTTACAATTCTCACCTTAAGGTATACATTTTTCTTATGCCCGGAATTCTTCCAGGAAAGCATTGCTCCAGCATTCGTGGAGAAGCTCGTGAAATGGTGCGAAAACATTAAAATTTCAGACCCCTTAGAGGAAGGTTGCAGGCTCGGCCCTGTTGTTAGTTCCGGGCAGGTAATAAAACCGGCTATTATTCGATGATTATTTGGCAAGATTTACGGTTGAAGATGACTGAAATATTACTGTGTTACAGTATGATAAAGTGATGAAGTTCATCTCAACAGCCAAGGAGGAAGGCGCGACAATATTGCACGGCGGCGCACGACCTCAGGTGAAACTTCCCGAACCATTTTTTCCACTTCCGAACCATCTCACAAATGCTCTTTAACTAATCTAGCGAGCGATTTGACCGCAGCATTTGGAGAAAGGCTTCTTTATCCAACCAACTATAATAACCGACGTGACGACCTCCATGCAAATCTGGAAAGAGGAAGTCTTCGGACCCGTCCTCTGCGTCAAGACATTTTCGACTGAAGAAGAAGCAGTCGAACTGGCGAACGATACCCAGTCAGTTGGTTTTCGGATCCTACATTGCCGATTCTTTTTTCTTAATTGGTAATTTTCTGATTTTGGAGATCATTATGTTATATTCAGGTATGGCCTGGGTGCTGCGGTGCTATCGCAAGATCTCGCAAGGTGCGAGCGGATGACTAAGGTGAGAATTGTTTTTTCATTCTAACCATGGTTAGATCAAATTAATTTCTCTTTCGGAATCGATAGTCTTAAAGTTCTTAAGGTATAACTTATTTTTTCTGCATTCTAACCATGGTTAAAGCAAACTAACCTCACTGCCGGGATCGATAGTCTTAAAGTTCTTTCGGTATAACTTATTTTTCTGCATTCTAACCATGGTTAGAGCAAATTAACCTCACTGCCAGGATCCACAGTTTTGAAGTCGTATCGGTGTAACTTTCGCAGGCATTTCAAGTAGGCATCGTGTGGGTGAATTGCTCGCAGCCGTGCTTCTGCCAAGCCCCTTGGGGTGGGAAAAAGCGCAGCGGTTTTGGGCGCGATCTCGGAGAATGGTAATTTAATTTGAATCTTGTTCGGGTTTTTGACAATTTTGAGAAATGCTTGTTTCTTTCGACAACTATCTTACCTACGTGAATGAAAAAAAAATGCGTGCAAATAGCGGTCGCGGTCAAGCTAGCTAGCTATGTCATCCTGGTTTCGCACGTTTGTTTTTTTAGGGGTCTCGACAACTACTTGAACGTGAAGCAAGTGACGACGTATGTGTCCAACGACGCGTGGGGTTGGTACACGGCGCCTTCGAAGATGTGACGAGCTTTTACATATGGTCGACGGATGATCGGTTGTGGACGTGAGAAACAAAACCTATGGTAATGTACTCTTACTCTTCATCTTTAATGGTGAAACTTTGTGCTATTTGTAACGTTGAATTTCTATGGAAATAAATGCATGAATAACTTGTTCTTTTAAATTTTGATTTTATTATTTAATTATTTTTTAATAGTAATTTGAATGCGATGATTATGATTATGTTATGTAGTGAAAAATATTAAAATGGTAAAAATTGGATGTAGATTTGTCTTGATCCGCCCAAGTCATAATGATGTTGATTTGATTGGATCATGTTATAGAAATGACCGGAGCAGCGTATGTTTATACATATGCTGATTTATAATACATACACTCATTTATAATAGTATATTACTTCCATTGTTATTCAAAATTTTGGGCTCTTATTAAAAAATATTTCGGTTTAATTATATTTACATGACGGATAGAGTATATATTATATTATAAATATGCTGAAATATATATAAATATAGGATTGGATTATTCATGTGTTGAGATAATATGCTAATTTAAGTTAATCAGTATCTGATTCTTCAATTATGAGATTTTTGAGATTTTTTGATTTTTTTTAATTTTTTTTTTTATTTTTTTACAGTTTTGTATCATATGATAGTGGAGTATATATAGTTTTTAAAATTTATATTTTTTATAGTTTCTTTTATATTATTATTAGTTGATATATATATACTTTCTAAATTTTATAAAAATATTTTCTGATTTATTTTTTATTTGGTTGAAACTATGTTCTCATATCTTTTTCATATTTCTCTAATGAATTTAATTTTATATTTATTTTGATTTTAAAAAAAAAGATAAAAATGAAAATGCAGAAGAAGTGTAGGTTTATAATTTCGATTTTTTTTAAGTTAAAAAAAAATAGTCATTAGTTCTACAGATTATATTTTTATAATAATTTTTATTTGATCTGTATATATTTTGATGTCAAATCCTGAAGCATTCAAATCATATGTATCATTATTATATGATTTTTTTTTCAATTAGTTTCATCATTTTTATATAAAAAATTTTTCTTTTTTATTTTACTATTTTGGAGAAGATATCTAATCACAGTATTTATTTTTATACTTTTTTATAGTGTATAAATAATTTAATATGATATTTATTTATATTTTGCAAGATCTTATTTAAGTGTCAACACTAGTATATATTATACTTAATTAGTTTGGACAAATTTGTATATTATAGAAGATTAAAAAATAATACTTTCTCCGTAAAATATATAATATAATATTTTTTATTTTGCTATGTTCTTATTATGTCATTTTTTAAAAAAAAAAGAAAAAGAAAAAATTGATACATTTTAATTTTAAATTTTATTATAGTAATTAATTATTTATATTATATTATAATTCATTTTACTAATATATTTTTAATTATTAATTAATTGTATTTTTTCTGAATTTTGTGTCTGGTGTAATCCCGAAAAATTAATATTTTAAAATTAATTAATAAAAATATGTAAATTGATTTTGACACTTTGTATTTTATGTGTATATATGTATGTAAGAATATATTTATAATTCATGTAAATATTTAAAAATATTCAAATATTAATATGTTATTATTTTTAACTTTTGAGTATAACCGAAAAAAATAATAAAAGGGAGGAGGGATTAATTGATTTCATTTTACTGTATGCGGCATAATTAAGAAATATTATTTATTTATGTTTTACATCTAATAGAGTACATTATAAATAAATATTGGTTAAATAGAACTATATGTAGTGTTGCCTGTAGAGTTGTCAATAGCTCGATTCGTATACCTTAAATGGGTTAAATAATTCAATTATAATCCGATTCGTTTATTATCGTGTAAGGTTTGTATTAACCTGTGTATATAATTAAGTCAAAATTTTTCATTTAAATTCAATTATTGTTTGTCATATAGTTGTGTTAGGTTAATTTTTGTTAGTTATAAATATAAATGAATTAAGTTGAATTATTTAAAATTGAATTTAATTTAAATAATATGTCGGCTAAGTATTAATTTATAAATATTTGATATATAATAAATATATTAATTAATATTAATATATTATAATCTGGTCATCGTATCAAATTCGAGTTGAGAGCTTTAACTCTAACCCGATCAATTTATTATTGTGCCGGATGCATATCAACCGGTATAAATAATCATATTAAAATCTTTGACTAAAATCCAATTCTTTTGTATCGTGGTGTCAGTTTTGCCAAGTCAAAAAAAATTATTATTCTCTCTATTCCAATACAATTGTCTTGTTTACCATTTTTGTTCGTCATAGAACAATAGTTTCATTTTCATAAATAATCATATCACCGTAATATTATTCATACTTTTTCATTATTATTACACAATTGTCACTATTTTTTACACTAATATACTCGTAAGGGCAAAATGTTATTTATCCATACTTTTTGCCAATCATGGATATAATATCAATATTTCTTAAATCTCGTATTCAACACAATAACACTATACTTTTAGGATGGAATGAGTATTTCAAAAAATTCCAAAAATTGTTTATGTGTATGTGTTCTTTTATCAAACATCTTCAAATTTCTAATACTATTATTTATGGAAAAAAAAATTCGAAATATAAAATCAAATATCTATTTTTTTATTTTATATATTATATTTAAAAAAATTTAATTTTATATTTAAAATATTATATAAAATTAATTTATATCACTTTATACCATTATACAAATTTAAAATTTTTAGTATTCTAACTCACAATTAAAAATTCAAACTCTAGATCAAACACACCCGAAAATGATATATGCATAGACGGAGCAACTTTTCAACTACAAATTCATAATAAAAAAAGAAAAATCAACGACCTTCTTCTTTCTTTCCACAACAAAACATGTCACCAAATCTACCTCAAAATTGCTCCTTGCAAACAAAATGTCTGTCTGTATCTGTATCTGTATCTGTATCTGATCGACTCCATTTTCGACATTCTGTCTTCACTCTCATTCCATTCCATTTCAATATCACTTCTCCGCGACGCCATTAATGGCATTCACAGCAGCAGCAGCAACAGCTACAGCTACAGCCCCCACATGGGGATGACATGCCGCTGTCAGAACTACCCTACCCCCCTCTACCCTTCCAATAAATATCTTTCTTTCACTCTTTCCAATTCCATAAAATTTTCAGTCACAGATCAAATTTCGAATCTAATCTCATCTCCACTGCACTGCTCTGCATCCATTCGGAGATGTTCTGTTCGTCCCCTCTGTTTTACCGCTAATGGAGGAGGAGTTTCAATGTTTCATCACTACTTGAATTCAAACTACACTCTGCGGTAACCGTCGTAAATCAGAATTTCCAGATCGGGATTATCAATGGGGAGCTCCGAGGAGAGAGTTGTGGCTGTAATCATGGTCGGCGGACCTACCAAAGGTTAGAATTCAATTCCTGTTCGGATCTGTAATTTGAGGAATTCTTCATCTCGTTGATGGAGAACGACGATTTCGAGCAGGAACCAGATTCAGACCGCTCTCGTTGAACACTCCCAAACCCCTCTTTCCATTGGCCGGACAGCCGATGGTTTATCATCCAATTTCTGCCTGCAAACAGGTAATCAATTGCTTCTGATTTCTGCGATTCGGATTCGAATTCGATTTGGTACCAAAATTGTTTGCAGATTTATTAATATGATAGTATTTCCAGCTGATTCCTTCGTTGATTTCTGTAATTTGTGAATGAAAACTCATTGAGTATTAACAACGTTATTTCACCTTCTTAGATCCCTAATCTCGCACAGATCTACCTTATTGGTTTCTACGAAGAACGCCAGTTTGCTCTGTTCGTCTCCTCCATTTCCAACGAGCTTAGAGTTCCTGTTAGGTAATCGCCATTAACGATGATTCAATACAACAGTAACTTTCATCTGTGATCCGTAGAACATTTTGCTGTTTGTTTTTAGGTACTTAAGAGAGGATAAGCCACACGGTTCAGCCGGCGGCCTCTATAATTTTCGAGACTTGATCATGGAAGATAGCCCGGTGTGTCCTAAATCAGTCGAATATATTGCATCATTTCGTTAGATTTTGATCTTGTCTAGGAAGCAAACAAATGTAGCCTTTCGAATTCGTATTCATTCGTCTGTTTTGCATCGGACATTGTGATTGAATACTAATCGATTATGCAGTCGCACATTTTCTTGCTGAATTGCGACGTTTGTTGCAGCTTTCCGTTGCCTGAGATGCTCGGTATGTTCCATTTTCGCAACCTACATTTCGACATTATCGATCTTTTCATGAATGTTGAAAATTGAAACATTTTGATTGCAGAGGCGCATAAGTCGTACGGTGGGATTGGGACGATTTTGGTGAGCAAGGTGTCGCCGGAGTCGGCGAATCAGTTCGGGGCACTTGTAGCCGACACCGTCACAAATGAACTGCTGCACTACACGGAGAAACCCGAAACTTTTGTATGAATCTGAACTAGTGTCTGGTTTTCGATTTACGTATGTTGTCTTTTTATTGTTGTTTCTTAGCTTCTTGATTCTTAGGTGAGCGACCGTATAAATTGTGGCGTGTATGTATTCACTCCCGATATCTTTACAGCCATTCAAGGCGTTTCGACCCAAAGAAAAGATCGAGGTAAGTAGCAATCAACACTTTCTTACCATACTATAAATTTTGATGCTCGATTGTCTGTATCTTACGGAAAATATGAATCATAGAAGCCATTGAACTCCTTAAGCTATTACATGATTCGATTGTCGAACATTTTTCTATTAAGCATTCGATGTCTGAAAACACTATAGCTTTTCCTTAGCATCTACGTAGTTTACGACTTTTGCAAGAATTGATGTTTCTTCGATTCATCGTGCCTGTTGAGGTATTTTAGATATTCAGTTTTAAATTTAGTAGATTTAGATTTGGTTATTTTTATCATGCAATGGTCTTCCAATTTTGAAATTTTTTCTATAATTTCTATTTTGTTTCTATCTCAACAGTGCCTATGTAGTTTTCTTCTCATTATTTGTCGCTCCGATCCACAGCTACGCTGAGGCGACTATCGAGTTTCGAAGCGCTTCAACCGGCGCACAGGTACGTACACTCGACAACGAATCGACTGCTAGCTACCTAATCGCCTCGATTCTAACTGACGTTGTTAACGGTTTTTCGATTCGAAAGGAGTTTTCCATCGGACTTTGTTCGATTAGATCAGGACATTCTATCACCATTTGCCGGGAAGAAGCAGCTGTACGTGTACGAAACCTCGGATTTCTGGGAACAGATTAAAACCCCCGGGTGAGCTAACGATCACGGCACTTCTTACTGTCCTACGATTCGATTAGTCTCTCTTACGCGTCGCGTTCTTCGCAGAATGTCCCTGAAATGCTCTGGGCTGTACCTCGCCCAGTATCGGTTCACCTCCCCCCATCTCCTGGCCGGCGGAGACGGTAAAACCAAGGCTTCAATTTCCGGCGACGTCTATATTCATCCGTCTGCAAAAGTTCATCCAACGGCAAAGGTAAGCTAATGTTATTTTTTGTCGAACTTGTAATCGATTGCATTGTATGATTATAATTCGGGTAATTGGAAGCAGATTGGCCCCGACGTTTCGATCTCGGCAAATGCTCGGATCGGAGCGGGTGTGAGGCTCGTCAACTGCATTATCCTCGACGATGTCGAGATCAAGGTAGGTACTTTTTACCGTATTCTCGGTACGTAAAATATGCTCGACAATGGCGGCGCTCACCATTTAATTTTCCAGGAAAATGCGGTTGTGATCCATGCCATCGTCGGGTGGAGATCCTCGATCGGAAGATGGTCCCGAGTCCAGGTAAATTAGTGAATCCTTACTCGATCGATCGACTCACCGGATGAGTATGACGTAATGATGATGCAATTTTCAGGCAACGGGCGATCACAATGCAAAGCTCGGGGTTACAATCCTCGGTACATCTCTAACTTGTAGTATTTCATTATATTGATCGATCAATCGATGTAGGTTACGATTAAGATTGTCGATGCAGGCGAATCGGTCGGAGTCGAAGACGAAGTGGTGGTTACCGGCAGCATTGTACTTCCGAACAAGACTCTGAATGTCAGCGTTCACGGCGAGATTATACTGTAAGATTACTTCCTACAACCTCTCTCTGTGTTGTTAATTAGTCAGTCTTTTGGTACATAGACATCATCTATAGGTAAATTATTCATATATACCTTTGATTATTTTGGAAAATTCGATCTGCTGGGAATTTGTTGTTCTACTTTCTAATGTTTAGTTACCAATAAATAAATAATACTCTCTCGATCGTGGAATTTTATTCTCATTTGAGCTTTAAAAATTAAGTAATAATAATAAAAAATTATAGTAAAAAAATATAGTGTTTTTTTACTCAAAATAAAAATAAATTTTGATGACAATCAAAAAATAAATAAATAAATTTGGACTACAACAAAGTACTTCTAAAAGAAAAGTTTGTTCGATTGCTTATTTCCACGTACGATTTGAACTGATTGGTACCCATCTCAAATATTCAACAATATTTTATATTTTGTTTGGTATAAATATTTGGTAATGTTTTTAAAATAGAAAAAAATTATTACCTTCGTCATTATGTTCTTATTTTCTATTTTTGTTTGTCCTAAATAGCTTGTCCTTTCTATTTTTGAAAATATAATTATGCACTTTAATCGCATTTTAAATTTTAAATTTTAAATTTTTTTAATTTTAATTAAACTATTTACTTATTTTAATCTTAATCTATAATTATTTTTACTAAATAATAATTATTTCTACTAATACATTTATTAATTACTTATTAATTATACTTTACCTAAATTCTCATGTCTACGGTAGTATACTCATATTACATAGGATGGAGGGAGTAATTATATTTTATAGTATCATGTCACTCAATGTATAGATATATATATTTCTCTTATAACATCACTTACTTAATACTATCATCCACCTAAATTATTATGACTAAAATAAAATACTATTTCGCTATATGTGTAATGGAATGAGTATTTTATTGTGTAAGAGTAATGTATGCCTGTGTTTATCTGGGATTTGGATTTTGAGTTAGGATTTGAATAGTAAAAATTTTATATTTTAAGTTTGACGGATCTATCTATTTATTTTTTACACGAAATTTTAGAAATATTAATATTATATTAAAATATAGTAGAAATAAAGGTAAAAAATATGAAACTAATTTTATTAGTATTGTATGATATAAATGTAATAGCATATGCTTAATATATTATAAATTAGAAAGAGTATTTGTATTGTTAAGTAGATAATATAGTTACAAAAAAAAATAAAATGTATATTTTGTTATGAATGGGAGAAAGATAGAAAAATAGATAGATTGTTAAGGGATATATAAAAGTAGTTGCGTTTATATGACTTAATGTTTGTTTTTAAAAGCTTATTGAATAATATTGTTGTGTATATGTTTAAAAAAAAAAAGCATAGATTGCCTTGTTTGAGCTTTTATCATTTCTGATACAATATTTTATACATAATTTTTTAAGAAAAATATATTATTATTATTATTATTATTATTGGTAAAATATAGTACTAAACTAAATAAGTCAATAACTATTATATAAACTCAAACTACTCAGATTGAAACTGAGATTTCTTAGAATATGTGACTAGCTAAAGTGAGTAGAAAATTTGTGATGCAGTTAGGAATATAGCGGGCAAAAACTGATCCGATACGAAATAATTGGGTTTGGGTCAAATATTTCAATCCGATTATGTATACGGGTTGACACGAAGCCGACACTATAATAAATGGATCGGGTTATGATTGAGGCTCTCAACTCGAACCCGACACAACAACTCGAATATAGTATATTAATATTGATTAATATATTTATTATATAGGTAAAATAATCATAATTTAATAATTTTCTCCTAAATTAATTTAAACTAAGTTAAATTTTAAATAATTCAACCTAATTTAGGCTCAAACTAATAAAAACTAACATAAGACGATAATATGACAAAAAATAATTTAATTTGAATCAAGAATTTTGACTTAATTATGTATACTGGTCAACACGAGTCAACCCGAACCCGGCGGGATAATAAACGAGTTGAGTTATGGTTGAGTAATTTAACCCGTTTAAAGTATTCAACCCGATACAAATCGACCCATTGTCAGCTCCAGTTAGAAACACGTTACCATTAGGTTGTACATTTGGAAATTAGATTTGAATTTATAAATTAATTTGATTTAAAATATTTATTTGATATAATATAAATGCTAATGTTTGTTTGAGGATTGGATTTTAAATCCACTATTCATCTCATTTTCTCCTCTAAAAAATATCAAATCAAACACCTATTTTTTTTATTTTTTTATATTATACTAAAAATCAATTTTATATCAAAAACATCACATCAACACCTATTTATCTTACATCATACAATTATTCAAATTCAAAATTTTTACTACAAAATCCAGAACCCTGAACAAACAAAACCATGACCAAATATGTCAATATATTTTTAGGCGAATTGCATGTGTATTATTAATAGGGTCTATTTGGTTTCAATTTAAAATTTGTTGTTGGAAATTTGATTTTAATTTTTTAAATGAATTGTTGTTTGATTGATATTTGAGTTATTACTTATTATTATTATTAATTTTTTAAATGAATTGTTGTTTGATTGATATTTGAGTTATTACTTATTATTATTATTAATTTTATAAGAGATTGTGTGTTGAATAAAATATTCAATATCATACTAACATCAACTCAAATGCCTACCAAGGTACATAAAATAACATAAATTATCAATGAAAATGTTATTTTAATATAATATAAATATAACATATGAATTGATAATATATAATAGCATGTAAATTAACAAAATATAAAATTACATGTTGTATGTCTGTCTATTTATTTTTATATGTACTGATCAAAGTTAATCAATACAATGCTAACTAATCCTGATAAATATGTGGATATAAAAAAGAAAACCATCCGTTTTGATCTAAAGAAAATTGGATCGATTAACACTATCTATCCATCAATTTTCATTTTTAATAGTTATAAATATCACTATATATTATAAATATTTTAACATATATTAATCAATGTCTAATGGCATCCAATCCACTTCACCGTCTAATCGTGCTCTGATACCAGAGTTAGGAGTGCCAGATTTGTTTTTTGATATCCTCCAAAAGGCCTTGTACTAGCGGGCGAGCTCACCATCACAACCAATGTCCAATGCCACCCAGTCCACTTCACCATGCTCTGATACCACTGTTTATGACTAGACCAACTCAACACTAGTATGATATTGTTCGTTTTGGGCTAAGCCCGCACGGATTTGTTTTTAGAGATTCAAAAGCCTCATACCAGTGGAGTTTACTTGAGACTTATAAGGTGTAGAATTTTCTTCCTAACTTTTGATGTGAAACTTGAGTTTGCACCCCAACAATATTCTTAATTATATCAATAAATATCCTTATGTGTGGAGGCAATACGATATATATATTTTTTTTCATAAAATATTCTAATAAATATTCTAATTCTTTGCTATTTTTTATTTTTTATTTTAAGAAATTTCAATTTTTATATGTAAACAAAACTATTTTTAGGTGCCGTGAAATTTAAAAGATCAAGAAAATAAAAAAAGAAAAGAAAATAATAATTTAGTGACTTAGTCTGATCGGAATGATATATGTTTAAAGATAATCAAATCAAATATTTTTACTAATATTTTTGGCATGTAAGTTTATAGAGAAAAACATACTCCCCGTTCCAACTGAATTTTCTAGTTTAATTTAGACACAGAGTTTTATGTATTGTGTAATTAGTAAGTAATTAAGAAATGTATTAGTAAAAATAATTATGATTTAATAAAAAATAATTTTTAATTAAAATTAAGATGACTAAATAATTTAATTAAAATAAAAAATTATTAATTATGAATTTTAAAAAATGTGATTAAAATATATAATTATATTTTCACGTAAGAAAATAATGTGGAACAGACAAAAATAGAAATACAAGATAAATTAAGCGGGATACACGGAGTATAAAGTACTATAAATGTCAAAAATGAAATCCTAGTACAGGGGACTAAAAAACTATGGGGTGTTTGTTTGGATTATTTTTGTTTTTATTTTTACTAGTCATAAATTTTTTTCCTAAAAAATACTATCAAATTAAATACTTTCTATTCTTTATATTGACTAAAAATTAATTTAAAATTTAAAATATAATATCAATAATTATTTGTATCACATTAAACAATAATTTAAATTTAAATTTATTATTCAAATTAAAATTTAAAATCAAAACCCCAAACAAGCACACTACTTTATATGGACATGCCTAAAAATTTTTTCAAGACCAAAAGACAGCCAAACAACTGTTGAAAAATAGAACATACTTACGTAACAATTGACATTTTTTTTTGTCTTGTAACTATAGATAATTTTTTATTTTGGGTAAAATTTAATAAATCAAACATTTTAATCAATATAATCAAGTTGATAATTAACATTATAAATTACGTATAACTCACTCAAAATTATTTTATATATGTTATTCTTTAAAAAAAATATATAAATATTTTTATCTATATTTAAAATTTTAATTTTTTTATAAAATTAAATTATATATTATAAATAAATAAATGTACTTTTTTTTATTTAATTGCATTATATAAAATTTTATTATTTATAAAATAATATTCATATTATCTATATTTTTTTAATATAATTTTTAAAATATTTAAATATATATTTTAAATTTTTTTAAGTATATATATTAAATTTATTTTAAAACTATCAATATTATTAATTATATAAAATAATATCATAATTTATTATTATTAATTAATTAAACATAATTAATGTGATATATTAATATATTTTGAAAAAATATTTTATATATATATTTTTAAAAAATAATCAGTCTATTTTATTTTTTTTGTTTGTAAAAAAAAAAAAAAATAAATAAAAATTTACCTCCTTTTTACATTCACTATTTTCAAATAAATTAAAAAATGAACCGCCGGTTCTGAAGCTATTGGGCAAAGTCTAGACCCAATCCCATTTTCAAATTCGTTGCGCCTAATTACAATCATCTTCCAGAATTCATTCAAACCATTCTGCGTTAGATCGTCAATGGCGGCGGAAACTTGCCGGACTGAGCTACGCGCCGCCGTCCGCCACCTCAGCGACCGAGGCCTCTACTCCGCTTCCAAATGGTTCCCCATCTTTCTATTTTCTATTCTTCTTCTTCTTCAAAATTTCAATTTCCAACTATTTATGCCGCTCCTCTTCTTGTTGCTAGGGCTGCGGAGCAATTGACGGGGATAGAGCAAGATCCTGCCAAGCACACCCCGTCGCACACTCGATTCCACCGCGGAAGCTCCTCCAGTATCCGCCGCCGCTTCCCCGCCACCCCTTCCGACTCGTCCGCCACTCCTTCCGCCGGCGTGCTCTACGTTTTGACGCCGTCGGTCGAGGAGGAGTACGATGACTTCGATCCGGTGGATAATGACTTCTATTTGCTCGCAAAATCGTATTTCGACTGCAGGGAGTTTAGGCGTGCGGCTCACGTGCTCCGCGGCCAGACTGGGAAGAAAGCCGTCTTCCTCCGCTGCTATTCACTTTATCTGGTGAGTTGCTCTTCAATTTTGTACTTTATTCGAATGGTTTTATATGCAGTTTGCAGTAGCTATGATTTGCAAGGTTTTCTTTCTCTGTGAATTCAATGTATGGATGTCGATAGAGGGTTGATTTTGAAGAATGAGATTTGCTTTGAAGTGAGTTTGAAGAAGAACTAGAAGCATATTAATGGTAGCAACCTTGGTATATGGATAACTCTATTTATTGCAAAATGAGATGCTCTAAAGTGAACTTGAAAAAAAAACTAGAGCTATATTAGTGGAAGTAGAGTTGATTTTGCGATCCAAGTTTATATGATTTGCTATATTTTGAACAATTTTGTGGCGTCTGAGATGTTTCCGTCTTGGTAAAACTGAGCTCGTGACGATCTAGCAGTGAGTGTGTATAGGGGTGGATGTATGGCTAATGTTTGAATGGATTTGAATTTTACGATTTCTTGAGGAATCCCGGTTTCCTCAGGACATATGATGCCCACATAACTGCATAGAATGGATTTTGATGACTTGGGGCCGGGTGTAAGTATACTAAATCTGTTTCTGAATCTGCCCTGCTATAGCGAGCGTAAGGGTGATTAGCTATTGACGGTGAATCTATATGTTTGATATATTTATATATATCTGAAGTTTGCAAAGTTGCATTTGTTTTATGTTATATGTAGTAACAGGCATAGGACTAATTTGATTCGAATAATCATTACATTCGTCTTGATTGCTTGTCCTGCTTGGAGATGCAAACTTGTCTAGACAATATCATTTCCTGAATCAACTAATTCAAGAATCATTTTTACCATTCATTATGGAATAAATGCACCTGTAGGACCATAGTTTTGCTCGAAGACAGCTTGTTAGATCTTCCCTCTTTAAAATCAATTTTAGTGCAATGTTTAGATTATTGATATGTATTGTTGCTTCTTACTATCTTCATCTTAGTAAAATCTAGAGAATTTGATCATTGGACCTTCTCACAACCCACTGGTCCCTTTTGAATCGACGAATTTATAATTGCGTAAAATCTAGTACTTATGGTGGTTTCCTTTTGAATCGATATTTCCTCATTCTCAAGCATTTTTATAGCTAACATTTTTGTTGTTCCGGAAAGTTTATCATCATCATGTTATTAAAACTCTCGCGATTACATCTGAAAGCACCTAATTATGTTTTCTTAAGGCTGGAGAAAAGCGAAAGGAAGAAGAGATGATCGAGCTTGAGGGACCCCTAGGCAAGAGTGAAGCTGTCAACCGAGAACTAGCTTCTCTAGAACGGGAACTCTCAATGTTCCGAAATAACGGAACTATTGATCCTTTTGGCCTCTACATATACGGTCTCGTCCTCAAAGAGAAAGGCAACCAGAATCTTGCAAGATCCGTACTCGTAGAATCCGTGAATGCTTATCCATGGAACTGGAGCGCTTGGTCCGAGCTGCAAACGCTCTGCACTACAGTCGAAGCCCTGAACAGTCTAAACATCAATAATCACTGGATGAAAGACTTCTTCCTCGCGAGCGCGTACCAAGAACTCCGGCTGCACAACGAGTCCTTGGCGAAATACGAATATCTACAAGGAACGTTCGCTTTCAGCAATTACATCCAAGCCCAGATCGCCAAAGCTCAGTATAACCTCCGGGAGTTCGAGCAGGTGGAATTCATATTCGAAGAGCTTCTAAGAAACGATCCGTACAGAATCGACGACATCGATATGTACTCCAACGTGCTTTATGCCAAGGAGTGCGCCTCCGCTCTCAGCTGCCTCGCGCATCGGGTGTTTTCGACGGATAAATACAGGCCCGAGTCCTGCTGTATTATTGGAAACTATTACAGTCTTAAAGGGCAGCATGAAAAGTCGGTTACATACTTCCGGAGGGCTCTTAAACTGAACAAAAACTATCTATCGGCGTGGACTCTCATGGGCCACGAGTACGTTGAGATGAAGAACACTTCGGCTGCCATTGACGCCTACAGACGAGCAGTTGATATAAATTCTTGCGACTATCGAGCGTGGTACGGATTAGGACAAGCGTACGAGATGATGGGGATGCCTTTCTACGCGCTTATTTACTTCAAGAAGTCGGTTTTCTTACAGCCGAATGATTCTCGACTGTGGATCGCAATGGCTCAGTGTTTCGAAACCGAACAGATTCATATGCTCGAGGAAGCCATACAATGTTATAAAAGAGCGGCGGATTGTAATGACAGGGAAGCCATCGCGCTGCAGCAACTGGCGAAGCTTCACTGCGAGCTCGGTCGGATGGACGAGGCGGCGTCTTATTACAAGAAGGATTTGGAGAGAATGGAATCAGAGGAAAGGGAAGGTCCGAACATGGTTGAGGCTCTGACGTTCCTCGCGCAGCATTACAAGGCTCAGAAGAGATTCGACGAAGCTGAAGTGTACTGCACCCGTCTTCTCGATTACACCGGGCCGGTAACACATCCTCGAACTCGATCAATCGTTAATGATATTTACTTTTCCTACATCATCGGATTATTGCACGAACAATTCTCGCAAACCGTTTTGCAGGAGAAGGAAGCTGCAAAGAGCCTTCTTCGAGGCATTCATCACGCGAGGGATGATGACGATGACGACGAGCATTTCCCTCCATAATTCGAATGCTTTCATTTGTTTTTGTTTTTGTTTTCTTTTCATCGAATATTTACAGCAGTTTTTGTCGTATGCAGCGAATTCTATTGCGACAAAAAGGGAATTTCGTTCGATCATTACTACATTGCTGCTACATTACATTTATTTGGTGTGTTCCTATTTCAGACAGATGAATCAAATGAAATGAATGATGATGATGATCAAGATGAAACCTGTTGTTGGGAGAGGAGGAGGATGAGGAGGCCCTGGGGGCCGAGGAGGATCTCGTTGAGGAAGCTGAGGAGGGCGAACCAGACGACGGGGGTGACGTCGACGCCGGCGAGGGGAGGGATGAGCTTCCTGGTGGGGATGAGGAAGGGCTCTGTGGGGGCGTAGGCGATGAGGTAGGGGAACTTGTGGAGGGGGAGCTTGGGGTACCATGACATGACGATTCGGAGCATGAATAGGAATCCGAATGCAGAGAGGAATGGGCCGAGAATGGCGATCCCTAATTTGAGAGGCTCTAATTCCATGAGTAGCAGTGATTGGAAATGGTGGTGGTGGTGGAGGGTGCCATTGGAGATGAAGGTGGGGGTAGGTGGTGGTGGTGATGGTGGTTTAGTGGAATTGCAGGTGAGGTGGTGATGTTGGTTTGGGAGAATTGGGGATTTGAAAATGGTCGGGGAGAAGGAGAGGTTTGACGGCCATGAAAGGCTGAGGAGAGTTGCGGAGGACATGGTTTTGTATGTCTATCTGGTATGAGCTCTGTTTGTTTGGTTTTTGTTTGTTGATTTTAGGGTTTTGTTGTTGTTGTTGTTGTTGTTACTGTGCAGGTGAAGGAGTTTCGGGAAGAAGAAGATCGAATGTGTGGTGCAGGTATTTCCCTGGTTTTCTTTGGATGGGGTTTGATTTATTTTATTTTATTTTTATTATTATTATTATTTGGTTGTTTTTTAAAAAAAAAATAAAAATGAAAGGAAATTAGATGAATTTAAAGTCTTTGGATGTGTGTTATAATTTTGGGGATTAGAAATAGATTTGAAATATGTATATAAATTTTTTATATAAATAGATAATTAATATAAATTAATTGCATAAAAATGTAAAAAATTTAAATATTTATCGATGATTCATGAATGTATTCCATTTATATTTTGTAGAATTTTGTTGGATTTTTAAAGTCCAAATGTATTCAATCCAAATTTTAAAAGTCTTTCAAAATAAGAAGTAATTCAATCGAAACTTTTAAAATTTTGATGTAGTCAATATCTTTTAAAATTTGAAGATATTCAACCGTCCATAAATTTGGTATAGTATAAAATCTTTCCTTATTGTAAGAGATATTTTTAAAATTATTATTATTATTATTTTTATTATTAATAAATAGATAATATGATAATATTTATTAATATTATTATAATTTTAAATAAAAATAAAAATTAAAAATTAAAATATATTAGCTATGTATTATTGTCATATTTTCTTTTCAATTATTGAATATAATATATTGTCATTTTTTTTTTCAATTATTGAATATACTATATTATCATTCCGGTGACAACAAAATAGATATTTAAATATATATCTTTCATTGAATCGTTAATTTATATTTATTTACTTTTTGTTTTAATAATTTTTTTTTCAAAAATTGTAACTTATATTTTTTATTTTATTTATATACGTATTTATTTTTTTTTTATGTAAAATAGTTATATAAATAATAATAATAATAACTAATAAAGAAATATAATATTAATGTGATATATTGAATGATAATATAATATTAAATTATAAAATTAAAAATATTAATATACAATATAGTAGTGTTATATATGTTACAATGTTTCTACATTATTAATAATTAATACTCCTTTTGCCCCGTAAAATTAGTCCACATTTTCTATTTTGGCCGTCCCGTGAAATTGATCACATTTTTTAGTATAGTAATAATTAGTAAATACTAATTACAATTATAAATTTAACTATATTTTATTTAATTATTAATATCTCTAATTTTTATTGTTTGTTATATTGTAAATTTAAAGCAGTGCGAGTAACCAAGTTGGGAGTTTTTGGGGCTTATGTAGTGCAATGGCCGAAAAATGGCTGAATAAACAAATCGCTTAATGACGGTATTGATCAGAAAATAATGAAGTGCTGGAACAACAATGGTGATATCGGGGTTAGGGTTTCCCATGGCTGGGAAATCGGTGGATAATTGAGAGTTTAGGATTTTTTTGGTAAAAACTGTATAGCAATTGCTGCACCTAAAGTGGGATGCCTACGTACCCAAACAGGATCAAAATATACGTAGTTCTCTTAATACATGCTATACAATCTAAGTCAAACAAAACAGACCATAAGAGCCAAGGTAGGCAAAGTATCAAAGGCCAAAGGGAATATGCCTAAGGCATCAACACTAACCACACAATACTAAACCTATCAAGTCTAAGTAATATGAACACTAAGTGTCACAAAAAACAAGTAAGGGAGTGAAGCTTGCTACCTGAAATGGAAAGTCGAGAGACCATCTCCATCCGCTCGAATGAGACTTTTGATCGATGAAGTGATATATGTCGGGACAAGCGTCCGCTCAATCGAATGACTGCACCCAAAGTGGACTGCTTACGTACCCAAACAGGATCTAGCCATACGTAGTTCTCCGTATACAAGCTATACAGTCCAAGTCAAACAAAACAGACCATATAAGCCAAGACAGTCTAAGTAGCAAAGGCCAAAGACAACATGTCTTAGGCATCAACATCAATCAAACGATACTAAGTCTATCAAGTGTAAGTAGTATCAACACTAAGTGTCACAAAAAACAAGTAAGGGGGTGAAGCTTACTACCTGAAATGGAAAATCGGGAGACCATCTGCATCCGCTTGAAGGAGACTTTTGATTGAAGAAGCGATATATGTCATGAGAAGCGTTCGCTCAATCGAATGGTTGCACCCATAATGGACTGCCTATGTACCCAAACGGGATCAAGCCATACGTAGTTCTCCTAATACAGGCTATACAGTCTAAGTCAAACAAAATAGACCAAACAAGCAAAGGTAGTGTAAGTAGCAAAGACCAAAGGCAATATGCCTGAGGCATCAACACCAACCAAGCGATACTAAGTCTATCAAGTATAAGTAATATAAACATTAAGTGTCACAAAAAACAAGTAAGTGGGTGAAGCCTGCTACCTGAAATGGAAAGTCGGGAGACCATCTGCATCCGCTCGAAGGAGACTTTTGATCGACGAAGCGATATATGTCATTAGAAGTGTCCGCTCAATCGAATGACTGCATACATAATGGGCTGCCTACGTACCTAAACGGGATCAAGCCATACGTAGTTCTCTTGATCCAGGTCAGTCCAAGTCGAACAAAACAGACCATACAAGTTAAGTTAGTCTAAGTAGCAAAGGCCAAAGACAACATGCCTAAGGCATCAACACCAATCAAACGATACTAAGTCTATCAAATGTAAGTAATATTAACACTAAGTGTCTCAAAAAACAAGTAAGGGGGTGAAGCCTACTACCTGAAATAGAAATTCGGAAGACCATCTGCATCCGCTCGAATGAGACATTATATCGACGAAGTGATATATTTCGGGGAAAACGTCTGCTCAATCGAATGGTTGCACCCAAAGTGGGCTGCCTACGTACCCAAACTGGATCAAACCATACGTAGTTCTCCTGATACAGGCTATACAGTCCAAGTCAAAACAAAACACACCAAACAAGCCAAGATAGTCTAAGTAGCAAAGGCCAAAGACATGCTATACTAAGTGTATCAAGTCTAACTAATATCAACACTAAATGTCACAAAAACCAAGTAAGAGGGTGAAGCCAGGTACCTGAAATGGAAAGTCGGGTGACCATCACCATCCGCTCGAATGAGACTTTTGATCGACGAAGTGATATATGCTGGAAGAAGCGTCCGCTCAATCGAATGGCTGCACCCAAAGTGGGCTGCCTACGTACCCAAACGGGATCAAGCCATACGTAGTTCTCCTGATCCAGGCTATACAATCCAAGTCTAACAAAACAGACTAGACAAGTCAAGCTAGTTTAAATAGCAAAGACCAAATGCAACATGCCTGAGGCATCAACACCAATCAAGCGATACTAAGTCTATCAAATGTAAGTAATATCAGCACTAAGTGTCACAAAAAATAAATAGGAGGGTGAAGCCTGCTACCTGAAATGGAAAGTCGGGAAACCATCTGCATCCGCTCGAAGAAGGCTTTTAATCGACGAAGTGATATATGTCGGGAGAAGCGTCCGTTCAATCGAATGGTTGAACCCAAATTGGGCTGTCTACGTAGATCAAGCCATATGTAGTTCTTCTGATCCAGACTATACAGTCCAAGTCAAAGATAACAGACCATACAAGCCAAAGTAGTCTAAGCGGGAAAGGCCAAAGGCAATGTGCATGAGGCATCAACAGCAGTCAAACGATACTAAGTCTATCAAGTATAAGTAATATCATCACTAAGTGTCACAAAAAACAAGTAAGAGGGTGAAGCCTACTACTTGAAAAGGAAAGTCGGGAAACCATCTGCATCCGCTCGAATGAAACTTTTAATCGACGAAGTGATATATGTCGTAAGAAGCGTCTGCTCAATCGAATGGCTGCACCCAAAGTGGGCTGCCTACGTACCCAAACGGGATCAAGCCATACGTAGTTTTCCTGATACAAGCTTTACAGTCCAAGTCAAACAAAACAAACAAGACAAGCAAAGGTAGTGTAAGTAGCAAAGATCAAAGGCAATATATCTGAGGCATCAAAAACAACCAAGCAATACTAAGTCTATCAAGTGTAAGTAATACAAACACTATGTGTCACAAAAAAAACGTAAGATGGTTAAGCCTGATACCTGAAATGGAAAGTCGGAAGACCATCTGCATCCGCTCGAAAGAGACTCTAGATCGAAGAAGTGATATATGTCGGGAGAAGCGTCCGCTCAATCGAATGGCTGCACCCAAAATGGGCTGCCTACGTACCCAAAGGGGATCAAGCCATACGTAGTTCTTCTGATACAGACTATACAATCAAAGTCAAACAAAACCACCAAACAAGTCAACTTAGTCTAAGTAGCAAAGGTCAAATGCAACATGCCTGAGGCATCAACACCAATCAAGCGATACTAAGTCTATCAAGTCAAAGTAATATCAACACAAATTGTCACAAAAACAAGTACGAGGGTGAAGCCTACTACCTGAAAAGGAAAGTCGGGGAACCATCTGCATCCGCTCGAAGGAGACTTTCAATCGAAGAAGTGATATGTGGCGGGAGAAGCGTCCGTTCAATCGAATGACTGCACCCAAAGTGGGCTACCTACGTACCCAAAGTGGATCAAGTCATGCGTAGTTCTCATGATTCAGGCTATACAATCCAAGTCTAACAAAACAGACTAGACAAGTCAAGCTAGTTTAAGTAGCAAAGACCAAATGCAACATGCCTGAGGCATCACCAATCAAGCGATACTAAGTCCATCAAGTCTAAGTAATATCAACACAAAGTGTCACAAAAACAAATAAGGGGGTGAAGCCTGCTACCTGAAAAGGAAAGTCGGGAAACTATCTGAATGCGCTTGAATGAGACTTTTAATCGACGAAGTGATATATATCGTGAGAAGCATCCGCTTAATCGAATGGCTGCACCCAAAGTGGGCTGCCTACGTACCGAATCAGGATCAAGCCATACGTAGTTCTCCTGATACATGCTATACAGTCCAAGTCAAACAAAACAGACCAGACAATCAAAGGTAGTGTAAGTAGCAAAGACCAATGGCAATATGCCTGAGGCATCAACACAAACCAAACAATACTAAGTCTATAAAGTGTAAGTAAGATCAACACTAAATGTCACAAAAAACAAGTAAGAGGGTGAAGCCTGCTACCAGAAATAGAAAGTCAGAAGACCATCTGCATCCGCTCGAATGAGACTTTATATCGACGAAGTAATATATTTCGGGAAAAGTGTATGCTCAATCGAATGGCTGCACCCAAAGTGGGCTGCCTATGTACCCAAACAGGATCAAGCCATACGTAGTTCTCCAAATACAGACTATGTAGTCCAAGTCAAACAAAACACACCAAACAAGTCAAGCTAGTCTAAGTAGCAAAGGCCAAAGACAAGCTATACTAAGTCTATCAAGTCTAACTAATATCAACACTAAATGTCACAAAAAACAAGTAACTGGGTGAAGCCCGTTACCTGAAATGGAAAGTCGGGTGACCATCTCCATATGCTCGAAAGAGACTTTTGATCGACGAAGTGATATATTAGGGGAGAAACGTCCGCTCAATCGAATGGCTGCACCCAAAGTGGGCTGCTTACGTACCCAAAGGGGATCAAGCCATACGTAGTTCTCCTGATCCAGGCTATACAATCCAAGTCTAACAAAACAGACTAGGCAAGTCAAGCTAGTTTAAGTAGCAAAGACCAAATGCAACATGCCTGAGGCATCAACACAATCAAGCGATACTAAGTCTATCAAGTCTAAGTAATATCAACACAAAGTTTCACAAAAACAAGTAAGGGGGTGAAGCCTGCTACCTGAAAAGAAAAGTCGGGAAACCATCTGCATCCGCTTGAATGAGACTTTTAATCGACGAAGTGATATATGTCGTGAGAAGCATCCGCTCAATCGAATGGCTGCACCCAAAGTGGGCTGCCTACGTACCCAAACGGGATCAAGCCATACGTAGTTCTCCTGATACAGGCTATACAGTCCAAGTCAAACAAAACAGACCAGACAATCAAAGGTAGTGTAAATAGCAAAGACCAATGGCAATATGCCTGAGGTATCAACACCAACCAAGCAATACTAAGTCTATCAAGTGTAAGTTATATCAACAGTAAGTGTCACAAAAAACAAGTAAGAGGGTGAAGTCTGCTACCTGAAATAGAAAGTCGGAAGACCATCTGCATCCGCTCGAATGAGACGTTATATCGACGAAGTGATATATTTCAGGAAAAGCGTCTGCTATATCGAATGGTTGCACCCAAAGTGGGCTGCCTACGTACCCAAACGGGATCAAACCATACGTAGTTCTTCTGATACAGGCTATACAGTCCAAGTCAAACAAAACACACCAAACAAACCAAGATAGTCTAAGTAGCAAAGGCCAAAGACATGCTTTACAAAGTGTATCAAGTCTAACTAATATCAACACTAAATGTCACAAAAAACAAGTAAGAGGGTGAAGCCAGGTACCTGAAATGGAAAGTCGGGTGACCATCACCATCCGCTCGAATGAGACTTTTGATCGACGAAGTGATATATGCTGGAAGAAGCGTCCGTTCAATCGAATGGCTGAACCCAAGTTGGGCTGCCTACGTACCCAAATGGGATCAAGCCATACGTAGTTCTTCTGATCCAGACTATACAGTCCAAGTCAAACAAAACAGGCCAGACAAGTAAAGCTAGTCTAAGTAGCAAAGGCCAAAGGCAACGTGCATGAGTCATCAACACCAATCAAGCGATACTAAGTCTATCAAGTGTAAGTAATATCAGCACTAAGTGACACAAAAAACAAATAAGAGGGTGAAGCCTGCTACCTGAATTGGAAAGTCGGGAAACTATCTGCATCCGCTTGAATGAGGCTTTTAATCGACGAAGTGATATATGCTGGAAGAAGCGTCCGTTCAATCGAATGGCTGAACCCAAATTGGGCTGCCTACGTACCCAAACGGGATTAAGCCATACGTAGTTCTTCTGATACAGACTATACAGTCCAAGTCAAACAAAACAAACCAGACAAGTAAAGCTAGTCTAAGTAGCAAAGGCCAAAGGCAACGTGCATTAGGCATCAACACCAATCAAGCGATACTAAGTCTATTAGTTGTAAGTAATATCAGTACTAAGTGTAAAAAAAATCAAGTAAGGGGGTGAAGCCTGCTACCTGAAATGGAAAGTCGGGAAAGCATCTGCATCCGCTCGAATGAGGCTTTTAATCGACCAAGTGATATATGTCGAGAGAAGTGTCCGTTCAATCGAATGGCTGAACCCCAATTGGGCTGCCTACGTACCCAAAACGGGATCAAGCCATACGTAGTTCTTCTGATGCAGACTATACAGTCCAAGTCAAACAAAACAAACTAGACAAGCAAAGGTAGTGTAAGTAGCAAAGACCAAACACAATATGTCTGAGGCATCAACACCAACCAAACAATACTAAGTCTATCAAGTGTAAGTAATATCAACACTAAGTGTCACAAAAAACAAGTAAGAGGGTGAAGCCTACTACCTGAAAAGGAAAGTCGGTAAACAATCTGCATCCGCTCGAAGGAGACTCTAGATCGACGAAGTGATATACGTCGGGAGAAGCGTCCGCTCAATCGAATGGCTGCACCCAAAGTGGGCTGCCTACGTACCCAAACGGGATCAAGCCATACGTAGTTCTCCTGATCCAGGCTATACAATCCAAGTCTAACAAAACAGACTAGACAAGTCAAGCTAGTTTAAGTAGCAAAGACCAAATGCAACATGCCTGAGGCATCAACACCAATCAAGCGATACTAAGTCTATCAAGTCTAAGTAATATCAACACAAAGTTTCACAAAAACAAGTACGAGGGTGAAGCCTGCTACCTGAAAAGAGAAGTCGGGAAACCATCTGCATCCGCTTGAATGAGACTTTTAATCGACGAAGTGATATATGTCGTGAGAAGCATCCGCTCAATCGAATGGCTGCACCCAAAGTGGGCTGCCTACGTACCCAAACGGGATCAAGCCATACGTAGTTCTCCTGATACAGGCTATACAGTCCAAGTCAAACAAAACAGACCAGACAATCAAAGGTAGTGTAAGTAGCAAAGACCAATGGCAATATGCCTGAGGTATCAACACTAACCAAGCAATACTAAGTCTATCAAGTGTAAGTAATATCAACAGTAAGTGTCACAAAAAACAAGTAAGAGGGTGAAGCCTGCTACCTGAAATAGAAAGTCGGAAGACCATCTGCATCCGCTCGAATTAGACATTATATCGACGAAGTGATATATTTCGGGAAAAGCGTCTGCTCAATCGAATGGTTGCACCCAAAGTGGGCTGCCTACGTACCCAAACGGGATCAAACCATACGTAGTTCTTCTGATACAGGCTATACAGTCCAAGTCAAACAAAACACACCAAACAAACCAAGATAGTCTAAGTAGCAAAGGCCAAAGACATGCTTTACAAAGTGTATCAAGTCTAACTAATATCAACACTAAATGTCACAAAAAACAAGTAAAATGGTGAAGCCAGGTACCTGAAATGGAAAGTCGGGTGACCATCACCATCCGCTCGAATGAGACTTTTGATCGACGAAGTGATATATGCTGGAAGAAGCGTCCGTTCAATCGAATGGATGAACCCAAGTTGGGCTGCCTACGTACCCAAATGGGATCAAGCCATACGTAGTTCTTCTGATCCAGACTATACAGTCCAAGTCAAACAAAACAGGCCAGACAAGTAAAGCTAGTCTAAGTAGCAAAGGCCAAAGGCAACGTGCATGAGTCATCAACACCAATCAAGCGATACTAAGTCTATCAAGTGTAAGTAATATCAGCACTAAGTGACACAAAAAACAAATAAGAGGGTGAAGCCTGCTACCTGAATTGGAAAGTCGGGAAACTATCTGCATCCGCTTGAATGAGGCTTTTAATCGACGAAGTGATATATGCTGGAAGAAGCGTCCGTTCAATCGAATGGCTGAACCCAAATTGGGCTGCCTACGTACCCAAACGGGATTAAGCCATACGTAGTTCTTCTGATACAGACTATACAGTCCAAGTCAAACAAAACAAACCAGACAAGTAAAGCTAGTCTAAGTAGCAAAGGCCAAAGGCAACGTGCATTAGGCATCAACACCAATCAAGCGATACTAAGTCTATCAGTTGTAAGTAATATCAGTACTAAGTGTAAAAAAAATCAAGTAAGGGGGTGAAGCCTGCTACCTGAAATGGAAAGTCGGGAAACCATCTGCATCCGCTCGAATGAGGCTTTTAATCGACCAAGTGATATATGTCGAGAGAAGTGTCCGTTCAATCGAATGGTTGAACCCCAATTGGGCTGCCTACGTACCCAAAACGGGATCAAGCCATACGTAGTTCTTCTGATGCAGACTATACAGTTCAAGTCAAACAAAACAAACTAGACAAGCAAAGGTACTGTAAGGAGCAAAGACCAAACACAATATGTCTGAGGCATCAATACCAACCAAACAATACTAAGTCTATCAAGTGTAACTAATATCAACACTAAGTGTCACAAAAAAACAAGTAAGAGGGTGAAGCCTACTACCTGAAAAGGAAAGTCGAGAAACAATCTGCATCCGCTCGAAGGAGACTCTAGATCGACGAAGTGATATACGTCGGGAGAAGCTTCCGCTCAATCGAATGGCTGCACCCAAAGTGGGCTGCCTACGTACCCAAACGGAATCAAGCCATACGTAGTTCTCCTGATACAGGCTATACAGTTAAAGTCAAACAAAACAGACCAGACAAGTCAACTTAGTCTAAGTAGCAAAGGCCAAATGCAACATGCCTGAGGCATCAACACCAATCAAGCGATACTAAGTCTATCAAATCTAAGTAATATCTACACAAATTGTCACAAAAACAAGTACGAGGGTGAATCCTGTTTCCTGAAAAAGAAAATCGGGACACCATCTGTATCCGCTCGAAGGAAACTTTCAATCGACGAAATGATATATATCGGGAGAAACGTCCGTTCAATCAAATGGCTGCACCAACAGTGGGATGCCTACGTACCCAAACGGGATCAAGCCATACGTAGTTCTCCTGATCCAGGCTATATAATCCAAGTCTAACAAAACAGACTAGACAAGTCAAGCTAGTTTAAGTAGCAAAGACCAATGGCAATATGCCTGAGGCATCAACACCAATCCAGCGATACTATGTCTATCAAGTCTAAGTAATATCAACACAAAGTTTCACAAAAACAAGTAAGGGGGTGAAGCCTGCTACCTGAAAAGAAAAGTCGGGAAACCATCTGCATCCGCTTGAATGAGACTTTTAATCGACGAAGTGATATATGTCGTGAGAAGCATCCGCTCAATTGAATGGCTGCACCCAAAGTGGGCTGCCTACGTACCCAAACGGGATCAAGCCATACGTAGTTCTCCTGATACAGGCTATACAGTCCAAGTCAAACAAAACAGACCAGACAATCAAAGGTAGTGTAAGTAGCAAAGACCAATGGCAATATGCCTGAGGTATCAACACCAACTAAGCAATACTAAGTCTATCAAGTGAAAGTAATATCAACAGTAAGTGTCACAAAAAACAAGTAAGAGGGTGAAGCCTGCTACCTGAAATAGAAAGTCGGAAGACCATCTGCATCTGCTCGAATGAGACATTATATCGACGAAGTGATATATTTCGGGAAAAGCGTCTGCTCAATCGAATGGTTGCACCCAAAGTGGGCTGCCTACGTACCCAAACGGGATCAAACCATACGTAGTTCTCTTGATACAAGCTATACAGTCCAAGTCAAACAAAACACACCAAACAAGCCAAGATAGTCAAGTAGCAAAGGCCAAAGACATGCTATACTAAGTGTATCAAGTCTAACTAATATCAACACTAAATGTCACAAAAAACAAGTAAGAGGGTGAAGCCCGGTACCTGAAATGAAAAGTCGGGTGACCATCACCATCCGCTCCAAGGAGACTTTTGATCGACGATGTGATATATTAGGGGAGAAGCGTCCATTCAATCGAATGGCTGAACCCAAATTGGGCTGCCTACGTACCCAAATGGGATCAAGCCATACGTAGTTCTTCTGATACAAACTATACAGTCCAAGTCAAACAAAACAGACCAGACAAGCAAAGGTAGTCTAAATAGCATAGACCAAAGGCAACATGTCTGAGGCATTGACACCAATCAAGCGATACTATGTTTATCAAGTCTAAGTACTATCAACGCTAAGTGTCACAAAAAACAAGTAAGGGGGTGAAGCCTGCTACCTGAAATGGAAAGTCGGGAGATCATCTGCATCCTCTTGAATGAGACTTTTGATCAACGAAGTGATATATGTCGGGAGAAGCGTCCGCTCAATCAAATGGCTGCACCCAAAGTGGGCTGCCTACGTACCCAAACGGGATCAAGCCATACGTAGTTCTTCTGATCGAGACTATACAGTCTAAGTCAAACAAAACAGACTAGACAAGTTGAGCTAGTCTAAATAGCAAAGGCCAAAGGCAATATATGCCTAAGGCATCAACACCAACCAAACAATACTAAGTTTATCAAGTGTAAGTAATATCAATACTAAGTTTCACAAAAAACAAGTATGAGGGTTAAGCCTGATACCTGAAATGGAAAGTCGGGAAACCATCTGCATTCGTTTGAATGTGACTTTTGATCGACGAAGTGATATTAGTCGGGAGAAGCGTTCGTTCAATCGAATGGCTGCACCCAAAATGGGGTTGCCTACGTACCCAGACGGGATCAAGCCATACGTAGTTCTCTTAATACAGGTTATACATTCTAAGTCAAACAAAACAGACCAGACAAGTCAAGATATTCTAAGTAGTAAAGTCCAAAGGCAACATGACTGAGACATCAACACCAACCAAGCAATACTAAGTCTATCAAGTGTAAGTAATATCAACATTAAGTGTGACAAAAAACAAGTAAGGGAGTTAATCTTGATACCTGAAATGAAAAGTCGAGAGACCATCTGCATTCGCTCGAAGGAGTCTTTTGATCGACGAAGTGATATATATCGGGAGAAGCGTCCGCTCAATCGAAAGAGAGACTGCCAGAGAGGCAGTTTTCCGATGTTGCAAATTTTGACGGATTTTGATAGGGGGTAGTTCCAGCGCCTTCTGCGGCGATACGGCGGTGCGAGTAAGCAAACTGGGGGTTTTTGGAGCTGATGAAAACGATAGTGGTAGTGCGGTGGCCGAACAATGGCTGGATCAACGGATCGCTTAATGACAGTGTTGATCAAAAAATGATGAAGTAGTGGAACAACAGTGGTGAAGTCGGGAGAGTATTTATTTTTATTTAAATTACTGTATTATATTAAAATTCCATTCAAAATATAATATTAATGTATTGATTTTGAATTTTTTTTTTTTTTTTTTAGTTTTGAATTTAAATTCAATATTTTATATATTCAAAATAATATATTTTTATTAAAAATAGTAAAAATAAAATTCCAAAAATAATGCCAAAAAAATTAAATACCTATTCTTTATTTTTTTTATAGCACATGAAATTAAATATGACAAATACATTTATATAAATAAAATAAAAATTGCATACTTTAATTAAGTCAGCATAGCATTGTAACTGAAATTGCATACTTTTGTCCGTAGAATTGAATTAAGTCACCATAGTAACTGACAGTATTTTTGGGATGAATTCGTGACTGTAAAACTATAAATTTGAACCTCCGCCACCTAAGTCTTCATTGTTACACACAATTGCCTAGTATAATTTGTCTTTAAAGTTAGAAAGTTTGGTCGGGAGTTTAGTACTTTGAATAATAGCTGCTTTGAGCTCTCATGTAATAATAATAATAATAATAATAATAATAATAAACATTTAAACGAAGCAGCAAAAGCATAGAATAGAAAGACTCGACATCAGATTACATAAAAAGATCCATAAACACCAACAAACACATACATAAATTTCCATAGAATCTCTTCTTCATACACAAACATATATATATATATATATGTCTGTGCCTGAATCTTGATTTTATTCTAGTACAAGTCAAGTCTGAAAGGCGCGGCGACAACACGACGATGAAGAAGAAGAAAAAGACAACATTAAGTACTCTGGGGGTCGCTGAAGAAGCTGTTGATGGAGGGCATAATCTCCGGTCGCCTGTTGCGCACGAATTTCCTCAGGGCATGATCCGCGTATTTGTGCCCCTCCTCAAAATTCTCGAGCACCCCGGCAGCCCTCCCTTGCTTGTTCACCCTACATTGCATTTCGCCGTAAAAAGATCTTACCATTGTGGCAAAAGGAGTGTTCGTTGTGATTTTACTATACAACCACTAAGTTCTCTCGTAGAAAAAGATTATCTTCGATACTTAATTTTTTTCTGTGTAAAATATTGTACTCAACAACTATCTTCACCTAAAAAATATCTAACGTAAAAAAAATTAATTAAGATAGTCGGGAGTTTAACACCATGACCGATCACAAGTCCAACTCCTACACCACCAAGCCATCCCTTACGGACTAACTTCTTTTTTTTTCTTTTTTTTTCATAATATAAACATATATGTTTTCCAAAGCCAAATTTTCCATTCCTTGCATCACATACAACAAATATTTCCACTTATAATGTGTCAAAACAAAAACCAATACATAAATAAACACACAATTGATCCCATTCCATTGTTTAAAATCCAATTTATAAGAACATCTCTACATACATTTTTTTTTTTTAAGTTTTATAATTATTAATCAACAATATATACTTTTCTTTTTCAGCTAAAATATACATTATTTAATTATAATTAATAATTTTATATATCACAATTTTATTATTTTTATTATAACAAATAACAATCAATATGTTGGCATCGCATTTTTATCTTCATCCTTTAACAAATTTCATATAATACCTCATTATATTTTTTTAATAACATCAGTTAATTATCTTTTGTTTGTCATAAAACTTCGGGAAAAAATTATTTTGTCTCAATATAATTAAAATTATCAATTTTGATCTCAATATAAAATTTTTATCAATTTTGATCTCAATATAAAATTTTTATTAATTTTGATCTCAATATAACAAAATTAACTCATCATTTTTTTTTGTCTCAATATAATAAAAATTTATATTTTTTGTCCCACCGTCAACAAACCGACGAAAAATACTGACGTGGACTTGCAATATTGTACAATTTCTTCAAATATAACATAAGGTTTGATTTCTTTTCAGGTCAGCATTTTCCGCCAATCTGTTGACGGTGAGACTTAAAAAAAAGTTTTTGTTATATTAAGATTAAATTGATAAAAAATTAGCATGGGTTATATTTAGACTAAAAATGATGAATTTGGATTATATTGAAACTAAAATTGATGAAATTTTTATATTTGGATCAAAATTTTTGGTTATATTGAAACTAAAAATAATTTTTTCCCAAAAACTTCACATCTAATATTCAGATTTTTTGCTATACACACCTTCATAGTTTCTCCAAATACATACAGAGAGAGATGTGTGTTTCCAAGAGAGAGAGAGAGAGAAAGAGGAGAGACCTGACTTCAGGATTGATGAGCATATTGCGAGCCATAGCAAAACCGCAGATCCCAGTTGCAAATCCCATCGCTGCAAACAGTGGAAACACCTATACATACAAATACTACTGTAATTTTTAGTTGAAATTAAAAAATAATAATAATAATAATAAATGAGGAAGATCAGAAGAACACCTCTGGCCTGATCCAACGACTGCCAAAGGAAGCCATCCCAACCTGCAATTTTAATTTTTTATTTTTTAATTTCCCTTTCTTTCTGGTTTTTGGCTGAAGAAAGAAGTTTTGCAGTTATAGAGAGAGAGAATTGGGAGGGGAAGGCGATGAGACTGAGGACTGTATTGTCATTATTATTTATTTATTTATTTAATTTAATAATATGATTTGTTTGGTATACGTTATTATTGTGATTACAAAAACAAAACAATAATAATATTCTGATCGAGTGGATAAGGCTGTGCGTAGTGGAGAAGACGAATTCTGATTGGCTGCTTGTGGGACTGATGGTCCACACCAACAGCCAATGGTGTCTCAACACGCGTCCCCTCGACGAATATGCTTTTTTACTTGCTTTTATTTCTTTTCTTTTAAAAGAAAACTACAAAGCCCAAGCCCAACCCAATGGCAATTGGGCTTTTGATGAACGACCTCAAGTTTTAACGGGCTCGCGATTTCTAATTATAAATTAATAATATATTAATAAAAATAATTATCATATAATATAAATAATTATAAATTAAGATAACTAATTAGTTTAATTAAAATTAAAAAAATTTAAAATTTAAATATTTAAAATGAGATTAAAGTGTGTAATCATTTTCAAAAAAGAAAAGTGACACGGATAGAAACGGCAATGTAGACATGTATCTAGAACGGAGAGAGTATATAACAATCTATCATGTGTTCTACTAAAAACGTTCTTTTATTTATTGCGCCAAATTTTTGTGTTAACTAAACATCCTTTTTTAAACGCTTAAATTTAAACAAATTTTATATAAATAAGAAAATAAAACGTAAAATATCTTAAATAATTTTTTTAAATAAAATAAATAAATAAATAAATAATCAATCATTTATTTTTATAATTTTTAAATAATTCAAATAATAATTTGTCTCTAAAAAAAGAAATAATTAATTATTTATTTATTTTATTTAAAAAAATATTTAAAATAATTTTATTTTTTATTTGTATAAAATTGATGTAATTTAACTCTTTATTTACAAAACAAATATAATTTTTGAAAAAAAAAACATATTTTATGCAAATTTTAAAATATATAATATTTTGTACACTAAAATAAATGGGTGTTACATTAAAAATGAATAAATTGTAAAATAAAAAATAAAATAAAATAAAATAAAAGACGCCATTAATTAAATGTTGCTTATAATTAAATCTAAAATTAAAATGGGTTGAACAGCCAAACCCCGTAACTCCGTCACATAATCCAGATTCCAGCCCTAATCTCTTTCCACTTCTTCTTTCTTTTTCTTCGTCTGCTACAGCTACAGGCGCAAAATCTTTGGTCTCCTCTTCAGCCGGTGCACTAATTTGTAAGTCCAACCTTCTTGAGTGAGAAATTTTCAAGCATATGCACACAGTTTGGACAGCATATTTGCCGTTTTTGTTATTTCAATTTGATCTGGGCTGTGTCCGGAAGATATTGCCGATTGAGCAAATTTTTGGTGTTAATCGTTTGATGTTGCACCCTTTTTACACGCGAATTAGTTATTAAATTGATTTGATTGTTGTATCGTATTGTGAATTGCTGTTCCGGTTTCGACTCGCTCGATACAGATCTGTACCGGCCGAGCTGGCGATGTTTCCTATTGATCAGATGTTTGGTTCTTTACAGATTGTGGATTGCACTTGAAAATTGGGGGAAAGAGGATTGAATTGGTTATACTGTTCGAGTGACTGGAGATGGTGCTCGTACTGGCATTGGGCGATTTGCATATACCGCATAGGGCACCCGATCTGCCAGCAAAGTTCAAGTCTATGCTTGTTCCTGGAAAAATTCAACATGTTATTTGCACTGGCAATTTGTGCACGAAAGTAAGTATTCCAATCCCAATTAAATACAATAGTTACTGAACTATATGCAATGTGTCATGTTAGTTTAATCGTTAGTTGTTACTGAATCTGGCTGGTGTTTATATAAAGTCTAAATGTATTTGTGCTTTTCTGCTTGACATATTCGATCTTGTAATGTGTTTTTTAGCTTTCAAACTTGCATGTTTTGAACACAAGAACACTTTGTGATTTTCTGGATATCCTGTTCTGATCACATTACAAGAGAGCCCTGATTAGGTATTATTTGATGGTTGTGTATAGTAACAGGTCACTGATTGTGCATCGAGGAGATAATGATTGGTTGACGAGCGGTAACCCTTACCATACCAAGGGATATATCTAATGAATAATTGTTACTACTCTAGCAATTTAGTGCTGCTATGCTTGCAACTTTTGAATTGTTTTCGGCATCTTATCAGGTCATAATATTCCTGCCTTTGTTGTAGCTGTACACGAACTATTGAGTCTTGTTCAGAGATTATTCCTTACAATTTGGTTGCGATAAAATTATATCTGCAATCCATCAGAATGAGAGGAGTGCATTCTTTTAATCTGGTTTTTAAGTAGGTTATAGGTTTGACATTTGATACAGAATACGGCAGCAGCAGTGTTCACGTAGAATTGTTGCCTTATCTCATGCTCTGCTATATTGATATTGTCTTGTGTTCCGAATTCTGATATGTTAAGGTATATAACTGAATATGGAAGCGAAAAAGGCAATAAGTTACACAAAATTTAATAATCCAGTTCCATCAAAATGATCTATATCTGGGGGCGTGGCTAAGCAAGGAATATTACTATGTGGATTTGTGATTTTCACATGAACGTCTAAAGCAACTCACACCATAGAAAATAAGAACATAAGTATCCTACGTCGACAACTGGTCCATGTTAATAATATTCTAACACCATAGGAATCTCACTATGTGAATTTGTAGATTTTACGCTATAATCAGCCTTCATAGCCAACATGATACCTTGTTAGGGTGGGTTTGGATTTTTTGGTTTGAATTTTTTAATAGTAAAAAATTGAATTTGAACGTTTGTTTGATGTGATATAAATAGAAGTTGATGTGATTTTTAAATGTAAAATAGATTTGTAGTATAATATAAAAAACATAAAATTATTTGATTTGATATTTCTTTTAGGGAAAAAAAAATTGAATAGTAAAAATTGCAACAAAACTCACAAAAAAAATTGATTTAATCTCTCATGCTCTACTACATTGTCTTCGACTAATTTGGGTGAAAGTTCAACTCTGTTATCTCTTACACCGAATATCTATTTACTCACACGTACTTGCAGGAGGTTCACGACTACTTAAAAACAGTTTGTCCCGACCTGCACATCACTCGGGGTGAGTATGACGAGGAGCCACGCTACCCAGAAACCAAAACACTAACAATCGGTCAGTTCAAGCTCGGTGTCTGCCATGGCCATCAGGTACAGTTCCAACCCTTACGCATTATACATTTCCGGCATGTCTACAAAAATAGTCACACTGATAAAAAAAAAAACTAATAAAACCTCTGAAAGGTAATTCCATGGGGAGACCTCGACTCTCTGGCCATGCTCCAGCGCCAGCTAGATGTCGACATTTTGGTGTCTGGCCACACACACCAGTTCACAGCCTACAAGCACGAGGCTGGGGTGGTTATAAACCCGGGTTCTGCCACCGGTGCCTTCAGCAGCATCACTTATGACGTCAACCCGAGCTTTGTCCTCATGGACATTGACGGGCTGCGCGTCGTCGTTTATGTCTACGAGCTAATCGATGGGGAAGTCAAGGTTGACAAAATTGATTTCAAAAAGACCACGACATCTACCTGATGACGGTTAATGTATCCTTGGGAGTGTCTGATCCTTAGCATGTTAGAGATTCTTGCTTTATAGACTTTCGTGAATGTACAAACGAGTTTTTTCAATCTGTTCATGTCTCTGCTGTTTATTTGGATGAAGTTGTACTACTGTTGGGACGAAATGCTGATTCGTGAAGTTCTTGTTCTGACAGCGATTCGATCTGCCTAAGGAAGCCGGCAAAAAATCTTCTGTTTTGGCTGATGATGGGATCCTTTTCGATCTGTCTCTCGTGCCTTTGGTAACTATTCTGCTTTGTTCTTGTAATAATGTTGCAGTTTCGAATTTGTTCAGTTTTCTACCATGCTGTTTTGAGAAAATTTGATGTGGGAGTAGCAGAATTTTTTGAAATGTGCTTTTGAAATCATTTGAATTGTTACATCTCCAGGAACATTATATATATATATATATATGTATTTATTGTTTGATGAAAGTGTCTTTGTGTTTTGATATATTGTTTTTGAATGAATACTATGGATTTTGAATGTAGTATTTTAGGAATTAAATTCATTTAATTGTATAATTTAGCAAATTTTGAAAGACACCCTTCGTCTCAAAATATCTTTTTTATGTTGTTCTTTCGATTCTTCTTCTTTTTTTTTTGAATTAATTTTAATTTTCAGTAATGGTAAATTGTAGCATCGATTAGAGGTGAATAAAGTGATTAAAGGTCTTCCTTTAAGCAGCAGCAGCAGCAGCATCATCATCATCATCATCATCATCATCATCATCATCGTGGAATGTATTGTTTTACTGCTATTGGGTGGGAGAAAACTTTAATTAATAAAATATAAAATAATAAGAATGATATATAAAATATATTTAGGGATGTCAACAAAATCAGTTAAAAGAAAATAAGAATAATAATCAAATATTGGCAGTAGTTGGCGGGATGGCTATCCGAGGCAGGCAAATCAAAGTTAAAAAGACAAATTTAATTTAGGAATTAGTATTTTTTTTATATATTTAAATATTTTAAAATAAATATGCAATATAATTTATATTATATAAATATATATTAATTTTAAAATCATAATCCGCTTCGAAATATATCTTTTAGACCTAGACTGGCCCATTAAGAACAGTCCACCAAAGGTATAGGGTAATCCATTGTTAAAAGTTAATTTATAATTTTGAAAATAAAATTAAATATATTTAATAAATAATAAAAATGTTCATGACAATATAACACCTAAATTTTAATGTATTGTTATATTCCCTTTCTCGGTAAAAAATATAGGTAAAAGATTTTTTTTCCTTGTGAGTATACTAGTGTAAAAATAGTGACAATTGTGTAATAATAATAAAAAAATAAGAATAATTTTATAGTGATATAGTTATTTATGGAAATGAAACTATTATTTCAGAATAAACAAAAATAGTAAACAGAACTATTATATTGAAACGGTAGTTCAAAACTGTTATATATTTTTTGGTTCAAAACTAAAGGTGTGTTTGGTTGACTTTCCGGCCAAAGTAAGCACTATGCTCCCAACTCTTTTTTTAAAATATTACATCATATAAGACTAACTCAAAATTTTTTCAAAAATTTTATTTATATCTCTCTTCAATCAACATATATATTTATATACATTCAAAATTTTCTATTTATTTATAAATTAATTTATATTAATCATAAATAAATATGTATATATTTTTTTGTTTATCTGTATTTTATAAAATTTTATTATCTACCAAATGGTATTCATATCGTATATATTTTATCAAAAAATTAATTAAAAAAATAATTAAACACATATTTTAAATTTTTTTAATCTTATATATATTACATCATAAATCAAATATTAATTAAATAAATAACTCTCACTCAACTTCCAAGTCATTTTTGTTATTTTAATATGTCTAAATTAAAATTATCTTTTTAGTAATTTTCAATTAAATATAAAAACTTTATTTTATTTTCATGGCACTTTTACTTTAATACTACATTATATTAAGATAAAATAGATATTATATTATTTTGATTACACTATATATTCATAAAAATATTAATTTATTTTAATTCGAGTGCTCATGATGAAAAACTTACTCTTTGATGAGAGAGTATTCTATTATTATAATTAAAAAGAAAATTGTATAAATAAAATATATTATATTATAAGAAAAAATAATAATATTATATGAAAAAGTATCATATAATTTTATGTAATATTTAATCAAACAAAATAAATATTATGTGAACTAATCCTATTAGGGTGTGTTTGTTTGGGGTTTGGATTTTGAATTATGATTTAATAATAAAAAGTTTAAATTTGAATAATTGTATGATGTGTTATAAATAGGTGTTGATGTAATATTTTGAATATAAAATTAATTTTTAATATAATATAAAAAATAAAAAAATAAAAATTTGATTTGATATTTTTAGAAAAAAAAAATTAAATAAACAATAGAAATCTTACAAAATCCTCCAAACACACCCTAAAATAACCCTAGGGCCTAGGAATTATTGATTTATTTACTCAATTTATTTTTGAAATACAAGATTTTCTATAAATATGATAAAAGAATATAATATATATATATATATGTGTGTGTTTTATTAACCTAAAAAAGTTAATAATTCAATAAAAGGATTATTTTTATATTATAGATTTAATTCTTCACATTTAAAATTAAGGGTAAGCTGAATTTTTAACTTTGTAATTGGACTTCTTTATTATTTTAGTAATGTTTGAAGCTGTCTTAAAATAGTCTCGTAAGTGAAAATTTTTCGCAATTTAGTCCTCAATATTTATGTAGCACATGCGTGGCACGGACACGTGTCAACCAAGTCAGCATCATGTGGCTGACACGTGTCCGCCATGTGAATTTTTTTTTAAATTTTATTTTTTAAATATAAAAAATAACAATATAAAATTATAAAATTAAAAATTAATAAATAAAAAATAAAAATATCTATATATCTGTTAAGTCAGAGTCACGTAACCTTTAATAATTTACTATATTAGTACATGTTTTATTATATTTTTTATTTTTTATTTTTAATATAAAAAATATCCACGTGGCGGTCATGTGACGCTGACCTAACGGACATGTGGATAATTTTTATTTTTTATTTTTTAATTTTAATTTTAATTTTTATAATTTATAATTTATAATTTATAATTTTATTTTTTATATATTTTTTATTAAAAGAATAAAATTTTAAAAAAATTATCCATATAGTGGATACTTGTCAGTCACGTGGTGTTAATCCGGCCGACATATGTCTGTCGATCTGCCACGTAGATGCCACATACATATTGAAGACTAAATTAAAAAAAAAAATTCACTTACGGGACTATTTTAAAACAATTTCAAATTATGAGACTAGAATAATAAAAAGTTCAATTTCGCACTAGAAAAACAGTTTAACTTAAAATTAAATACACATTTATATAAGTACACAAAGTGAATACAACTTAATTATCTTTATTTAATCCAATTATTGGAATGGTTGCAAACATATGTGGTATGTAATTGCTACAACTACCACTATTTTATTACTAATTGCTATCAACAGCTAGGTAGTTGTCACGTGCATAGATAAACTAGGCACGTGATCAACGAAAAAGCAAAAAAGATACATTATAAATCTCCAATTCATCAACTTCATTTATCCAGTTTTAATTCCAAATATACAGTTGCACAGTAATTTTACTGCAGCCATAACTTCATCAATTTTTCCTATTATTTTAAACAATTTTTTATTTTTATAATTTAAAATAAAATTTTAAAAAATAAAAATTAAATTTATAATTTTAAAAATTAAAAAATTAAAAATAAATAAATAAATAAAACAAAGCCAAAAATTGGCGTTGCTGACATTGCACTATAGCAACGCCAATTTTTTTGCGTTGGATTTGGCGTGGATTGGAGACAACCCACGCCAAAAATGCCAACCCAACGCTGGATTGGATTTGGCGCTGGGTTGGAGATGCACTAAGTATAATTCTAGTTTTACAAGTTTGTATATATTTTTTTTCTTATACTAGTTTAGAAATTGTTTCAAAATATATTTTACAAAATCTCCAAATGTATAAATTTAATAGATTGGTGAAAGATTTTGTGTAATATTTTTTAAAACATAAAAATAAAATAAAAATAAAAATTGCACAATTTTTAAACAAGAATTATACAAATTTTTTTAACCATAAGCGGATTAGAACAATTACGCCGTATTCAAATTAAATGAAAATTTTTTTTATAAGATTATCATTGTTAGTAATACATATCTTTTTTAGAGTTACAATAATTTTGTCGTGATTCTTGTACCCGGCCCGGCCCGATGTTAGAGATGTACAACAAACACATGCACCCAAAACTTGTTCATGAATTAGATTTAAGACAAGATTTGTCGTTTAATGAAATGTGCACATGGGATCGATCATTCATTAATTTTCTTGACTATTGCCATAATCTTATGTCCTCTTGTAATGTTCTTGTGTTTGTCTTGTCTTGTCTTTGGGTTATAGACATATGCATATATCCTCGTAATACATCAACTTAATAATGAATAAGCCCTTTTCGATCAAAATAATAATAATAATAATATTTCATCCGTCCCTTAACAATCTATTTATTTTTTTTATTATAATCAGTTTCATAATAAAGTATCAATTTTTTTTAGTAACTTTACTATCTATCTAACATTACAAATACCCTTTCAATTTACAATATCTTACACAAATATCATTACTTTTATATTAAAAAACACTAATAAGGTTAGTTTAGTTACTTTTATTTCTACAACATTCTAATATAATACTAATATTTCTAAAACTAAGTGCAAAAAGTAAATGAATAAATAAATATGAAACAGATGGAGTAATAATAATAAATAAATAAATAAATAAAACCTATAAAGATGACGAGTTGATTTGATAAATGAATTTATAATTATAAGATCATAGATTTAAAATCCAGCTATGCTCTGTGATCTTGTATGTCATAGCATGTTTTACCTTATTGAATTAATTTTCAAAAATTGTAAATTTTTTCGTCATAAAAGAATTAGATTGTATATCATGTATTGATCGGGTCAAGTCAGCATTGTGATGATCTAACCGGTCAGCATATGTCATATGAGTGACCAGCATATATTTATACATATCTCAACCTATTATATGTGATAAAATAACATTGAATTATAATATAATATTTTTCATGTTCTAAAACAATATGAATATTTGGGATTGACACTTGAAAATTAAGAAAATTAAGATAGCATTGAATTATAATATAATATTTCGAATTGTAGCATTATATTGTAGTGAAGGTAAAAGTGTTTTTAAAAGACCAAAACACATTTACTTTATGTAACTATTGTGAGAAAAGTGGAGATTGTTTTGTAAAAAAGGTGGATAGTTAATTACCAAAAATGAAAATGAGACTATTGTTTTGGGACGGTCGAACATGAAAAAATAAGAC